TGCATCTGAAACCTGTACAGTTTTGTTAACCAGTGTCACTCCAATAAATTCAATAAAAAGGAAAAAAACCTTAAAGCCACACTAAGACTTTGAGGACACTTGGTATAAATTTTGTCACTTTAGATTCCTACTGAAGATGCTGTCAATTTTCTTTGCATTTAAATTAAAGGCCATACTTTTTTTTTTAGAGATTTTATTTATTTATCTTTAGAGGGGAAGGGAAGGAGAGAGGGAGAGAGATATCAATGTATGGTTGCCTCTCATGCGTCCCCTGCTGGGAGCTGGCCTGCAACCCAGGCATGTGCCCTGACTAGGAATCGAACTGCGATCGTGTGGTTCCCAGGCCCATGCTCATTTAATCCACTGAGCTACACCAGCCAGGGCTAAAGGCCATACTTTTTAACATAGCCTACGAAGAAGAACAGACCTGACTCTAGCTTAGTTTTCCAACATAGCTGTTCCTTTAAGGATGCTATCCACACCTGTAGGCTCAGCTTATACCTCTATGCTGATAACTCGTATGTCCATACGTTCATACGTTCATGCCCAGCTTCTAAACCCAAAAGAAAATAATACCAATTCTTGGCACTTGGGGTTGACTGAGGATTACATGAGTTACTTTACCATGGTAGGCAAACATTGATTATTTTCTCAAAACTTGTTTCCTTTTCCTGTGTTAACATTTAGTTGATGGCACTCACCAGACCCTACAGTCAGACTGTTGGGATCCATGTCTAACATTCATTACCAATATGTGAGGATCAGCAAGTTACCCAGCCACTCTGCTTCATTTTTCTCATCTGTAAAATGAGGAAAACAATAGAATCATCTTCCCAAGTTAGTAAGATTATCCAAAGTGATAACATAAAAGGCACTCGGAACAGTATTAACACTTAATCATTGTGAACTCTTACTATTAAGTCAGGATCAGAATTGTCTTTTGTAGCATGGCGTAATGTAGTACAGCTTATTGTGACCTTTCTGTCTTCACTGAGGTGACTGTGGTTTTCTAAAGGGCAGACACCTAATGCACCTTTACGTTCCTAGTGCCTCGTATATTTGATTATACAGTAGGTTTCAGTCAATGTTTATTAAACTAGTACACTTTTAGAAAATACATAGCTAGAATTTCATTCAGCTTTCCTTATTTTCCTTGTCACAGGAAAAAGGTCACTGGTCAGAACAGCAAGAAGGCTCTTGAAGACAGAAGTTAAAAGATTTTTTTAAAGACCATCAAAAACATAATTTTATGATCTCAACATGAATGTTGTTTTCATGGAATACTTCATCTTAAAATCGCCTGTATCAGCAGTTGAAATCAACTACAAGAACACAGGGCACAGGACTGGTGAAAAATGATCATAAACTTTCAGTGCGTGATGTCAGCGTTTCAATTTGTATGTGACTTTTAAAAGATTACATGATGAAAATAACATTCATTGACATTTCCGTGGTTTGAATCCAGAGAGATGCTTCTTATAGAAGAACGAAAGCATATGCTAAAAATGGCGACACCCAAATGTGGTGAATTCTTAAGGATTTTTCCCCTTCAAGTGTGAAGGAAGGTGTGATGTGTGTTATGAAGAGATGTCTGGAACCAAATTTTTCAAAATAAAGCCTTGAGATTGAATGTCCCTCCCCTAACCTTGTGTTTTTTGTTTGTTTGTTTATTGAATAGACAAGAAGCAGGGGCTTTCTACCAGAAAGAAACCCACTACTCTTCATTTTACTGTTTCTTAATTTCTTGATGGCTTTCTGTGGTATAAGCCACAACAAAGAGATGCCTCTTCTGTGGCTGGTTATTCAAGTTCTCTAAGATTTTAGATTTTACTTTTTCTTTTAAAAAGAGGGAAAGAAACTTTGATATGCAAGAGAAACACCGACAGGTTGTGCCTCTCACGCCCCTGGACTGCCAGGTAGGCATGTGCCCTGGCCAGGAATCAGACTGGCGACTCTTCGGTCTGCAGGACAACACTCAACCCACTGAGCCACACCAAGTGGCTGAGCCACACCTAGAGAATCCAAGTTCTCTAGGATTTTAAATTCTTTGGTCTGTTAAATATCCTTATACCTCATTGGTAAGGTAGCTCACACTTGACCTGTATTAACGTTGCAACTACAAGCTTATGGTCAGCCTCTCCCTTTTTTCACTTTGCATCATTTAACCATGCTCTTTCCTGTCTCTTTCCATTCAAGATGAATTTGAAAACTCGAAAACTGATCAACATTCTATCCTGATAAGGAAGAGGGTTCCTGTTACTTGATACACCTCTGGCTGCATTCTCTTACAGCTTATCTTTCCGGAGGCTTTGTGGCCTTTCATCCATTTTATAAGCCGGTCTCAGTCAAAGGTAAAGGACTATGGTTATGCAGTAATGGAGACTATTCACCATTAGCAGACTTTTCTCCATTGATAGAGCTGTACACTGTAATAAGTCAACTTCAGTTTTCTCTGGATTCCAATTTAGTTTGCAGCGACAGGGCTAAACACACAAAGAAGGTCAGAATTGTCAGTACACATGGGATCCATTACAGCACCTCCCTCAGGAAAGTGGTAAATTGAAATCAGCCAGCAGGCCAAGTACCTTTGCTCTTTCTGTGGTGAAACCAAGATGAAGAGACGAGCTGTGGGGGTCTGGCACTGGCTCCTGTGTGCAAACAGTGGCCAGTGGTGCCTGGACCTACAACACCGCCATCACAGTAAAGTCTGCCATCACAGGACTGAAGGAGTTGCAAGACCAGTTGAAGCTCTGCAATTTGAAACACTGCTAGCTTTTAATAAATGGGTTAATTTATGTAACAAAAACAATGTGCTTCAGACGTGTAAGGTACTTAGAAGGACACCTGATGTGAATGTTAGTCTAAGTTTACTATTACCAACACTACTACAATACTATAACATGTTCTCAGCAGCATTTGAATTAAACACTTATTTATTTTTAGACTTTTACTCTAGAGAGTCAGGACAGGTAGGCTCCCAACTAGAAGGTTTTTAGATGGGACAAAAATTGTTCATCTTCAGAATTTATGTAAATGGAACTTCATCATTACGAGGTGCCAAAAATACAAACATATGCTTTTTTGTTTGTTCTAACTTCCTATCTCTATATATTCTGAAGGTAAATGTGCTGCTGCCACCCAGATGCCAACTGTATGACTTTGAAAAAGTTTTTATTTCTCAGAGTGCTGTTTTTTTTTATTTGTGAAATTGGGGGTAATACCAGTTGTCTCAAGGTCAGAAGTACCTAGCACTGTGCAAAACATGTAGTAAATTCACAACAAATATTCCTCAAGCAAACATTTTATTTAGTTCAGAATATAAGACTTGAAAACAGTCCTTGCCCTTCCAGTGTAGTGGTTAGGGATAAAGTAAAGGAACAAATAGTGTGGCAAAGTCTATGTTAGACAAGGCCACCAGGCTCAAGTGTCACACAGGAGGGCATCTGACCCACACTGGACAGCTGACATCCTGAGCTGAGCCTTGCAGATAGAACAAAGTATTCCAGGCAAGATTCACATATTCTGTGGTCCTTGATATACACCTTTTATTTGATTTGACTTCCTCTTTTTTAGCATTTTCTCCTGTGTAACCACCCATCCTTAAATAAAAGTGGTTACATAAACCTGTAATCGCCTTGCCTTGTCAATGGATTAATACTGAATTTATCACCTTTATATCAGTTGGAAGTAATCCACACAAATCAGTGTCACCTAAAGAAGGGGAGGAAGGAAATTAGCAGACAATTATGAAATAAGAATGCATGGTAATTGAATAGTTGGGTCTAGTGAAATGAGCAAGGACTCTGAAGTCAAACACCCGATTCTGCATACTGGTCCTGCTTCTTTGCAGCTGTATGACCTAAGCAAATTACAGCTTCTTTTAACCTTGGTTTTCTCATCTGTAAAATGCTCAAGCTATTAGGGACTCTGAGGATCTGGAAAAATACGGTAAGTCCCTGACCAGTGATTTGTGCCCAATAAATGATAACTTCCTACAAACTATGTCTTTGTAAAAGCCCTAAGGCAAGAGTGACAGATAAAGCTAATTGTAATCCATTACTTGCTAGTAAGCAACCTCAAGGGCTTGAAAAAGTTTACACGACTTTTATATTTTACTTAACAGTTTAACTAGGGGAAAAGCACAGTAAAAATATGCTCGGATTCATAGTATTATAAATTGTTTTCTAAACACCACCATTTTGCCCCTGCTGGCAAGTACAGGTATACCTGTTTTTATCCTGCTTCGCTTTATTACTCTTCACAGTTGTTGCGGGTTTTTTTTTTCTCCCCTCAAATTGAAGGCCACACCCTGCACCAGAAAGATTACAACTCTCTTTATTGTGATATCCTCTTTTTTTGCGGTGGTCCGGCACCAAGCCGCAAAATCTCCGAGGCATAACTGTAGGAAACAAGGATTACTGAGTGGCACGATGGCAGAACCAAACAGAAGAGGTTTTATATGTATTTAGGGTTTATTGTTTTACTAAAATAAAATGTAAATACTTTCAGCTTTGGGGGTGGATACCAAAAGTAAGCCTCCGAGTTTCAGGGGGAAAGTGGAGAGGGCTGATCATTAACCGGCTCTGTGAAGGTGTATCCAAGGGGCACTGAGGATCCATCTATTCTCTGTGTGCAAAGATGATTAACAATAAAAGAATACCTGTGTACCCACCATCCAGTTTAGAAAACAGGACTCAATCTGCTCTTTCCACTAACCAAGATTATGGTTTTTCGAACATACCGACGACGCCTCGCAACTCGACCGCCAGCGTTGCTCACCAAAGAGCCTTACCAAAGAATCAGCTTCCCAGGAGCGGAGCGGGAGACCGCCCCACCCGACCTCAGTACTCGAATTGCACCTGCCGGACCAAGCTAGAGGGGACTGGGTCACGTGAGGGGGGCGCACTGCCCCATCCGCGGGCTCGGAGGTCACGTGGGCGCACGGTCCCGCCCCGTCGCCCACTCCGCGGCGAGGTGGGGTCTGCCGTTTGCCCCGGAAGTGGCTGTCTTCAGTTGACAGCTGTTGGTAAGGTGGCGGCGGCAGCAGGCTGGGAGCAAGATGGCGCTGCGGCCGGGGACCGGAGCTGGCGGCGGCGGCGGGGCCGCGGGAGCTGGCGCCGGGGCCGCCGGGGGAGGCAGGTGGGTGTGAAGAACCAGACCGGGACCCACCTCGCAGCCGCCAGCTGCGGGTGTTTGGCGGTTACGGCCGTTTTCGCCAGCTCTGACCCCTTTTGCCTTGGACCTGGGGTGCGGGAGTAGGGGCGTCCGGGTACCTAGGCCGAAGGGGGAGGATGGAGCCCGGGTGCCCGGCTCCCGTTTCCCAGGTTCTGGGGCACTGGCTGCTGCGGCCGTGCTGGGAGCGTGCGCACGCCCCAGGGCGGGGAGCAGAGGAGGGGAAGGTGAGGGTCAGCTCAGCTGCGGTGGCATCGGCCTGGGCTGAGTAAAGGAGGAACCCCAGAGCCTCACTTCTCGCCCTGGCTGGCTCTGTAGCGACCAGACAGTTCCTCTCTAGGCGCTTGACCAGGACATTGTAGGGGAGGCTCTGAAAAATCTGGTCACAAAGATGAACAATTGTTTTCAAGATGTGTGTGTGGTACTATTCTTTTCCTTTGTAGATTGGTCTGTCCTTTTCATTTCCTTAACATAGCAGAACCGCAGGAAAATCTTAAGACCTTTCAATGAGTAAATAGAGCTCTTGTAGATGTAACTCTTTAAGGCCTGTTTCCTTATTTTAAAAAAAATTATTGTTAAACAGCCGTTATGTAGCTGTTAGAACAAAGCTTCCAGACATTCACTTAGCCCTTAACCAAATCTACCCTCCGTCTAATTCAGCTGATAATTGCTTGTGGTTCTCGTACCCAGAACGATAAGGAAAATGAACATTTGCAGTTTGTCAAGTTCATCATTTAAGACAGCATTTCACTCTGGAAAGTTTTACACCACTTCTATAATGACCTAGTCTGATTCTGCCTTGTTTTGTTATCCAACACATACTGCCTACACGTTTGGCGATTCATAGCGTTTTATCCAAAGCATTCTAAATTATCTTTGGGAAGCAAAGTGTTAATTTTTTGATATGCAATCATTTAATTTTGGAGTCATGAACACTACAAAATTATTGTCTTTAGGTCCTCACCTCTTGCAGGTACTTAATATGTATGCTAGAGAAAAGAAAACAGCCACTGTTCAATAGACCACCTGTGTGAGCCCTGTTTCTCATTTCCACTACATATCTTTCACTTAGATTTAAAACTTTTCTTTCTTTTGTTGGCTAATTTCCACATGCTCACTAGTTTTTCATGGATACTCAATATAAGTCAGTTGCTGACTGGAGAAGACAAATATGTAATAATTTCTTTGTTTCTTTTGTGTATGTGATGACAGTTTCTAAAATGTTCTTGAGTGGCATTAATTTGATCAAGTATTTGATTAATCATGGCTCCAAGTTCTGGGATAATATAAACTTAAAATAACTTGGTATTCTAAGGCAAGGGTTTTTATTTTTTGTTTTTCTAATGTGTTTTATTTTTATTTTTTACATTTTTGGGTGGGAGGATCTCAGGTGCAGAAAGTTGAGTGGATTATTCACCTTAGTTAATAGTATTTTAACATCATTGATTCATAAGCATTTTTAAAATGCTTAAAAATATGTCCTGAATTGTGATAGAAATGAGAATGATTGATTTTTAAATTTCTTTCCTCTGTAAAATTTGATTATAGTAACATCTGCATTTTAAAACTCTAGAGGATATATGGGAGAAAATGTGGTTAAAATAAGTCTTACCTTGAATAATGTATGGGAAATATTACATGAATGAGTAACTTCTGAGCCTGGGAAGCTGTATGAAGAAAGAATATTGTGGTTTTTAGAGAGTAGTGATGAGGGCTGAGATTATTTTATGAGGTAGCTAATATTATGGTAGCCTAAGAATATATATTTGGCAGGGGGGAGAAAAACCTGGTCATCTCTCTCAGCTTTAATAGAGAAAATCCGTGAACTATAACTTACCATATTTCTTAGATACTTGTCTCTGTTCTAAGAGACTAAGCAAAAAGTGATGGCATTTTCCAAGTTTATTAATATTAGCCTACTTTTGATTAGTATCCTGAATGGGGTACTTGAGAATAAATGGTAGAGTTGTATAAAGGGCAGAATTTACCCAAGAGATAAGAAGTATACATTTTTTTAAGTCAAATACTACGTAGAAAGAATTGCAGGGTCTTGAGTAATCTCTATCCTTCTAGGGATATCATTTATAAGCTTGTCAGTATTTTTCCTGCTCCTTTATAAGTTCCTTAAGGGCTTGCTCATCTTTTCATCATTCACTGTTTGTAGCACATTTTGGCACCTAGAAAAGTCATTCTGTAAATATTTGTAGATTCAAGCTACGTTGAAGGCAAAGAAGAAGCAGTATTTCAGCTGAGCCTCATTTGTAGGAGAAGGTCAAGAGATGGTCATAAAGGTGGGAATGACTAGTGAACAAGAAAGTTATGCTAACCTGAAGCCGTCCTTGAATATAAACCAAGGAGGTTCAGTTAAAGAGGGATTCAGTGCATAGCTTTAACCTTAGGAGTGGTTATCAAGTGGTCCTTTAGGAAGTTGCACCTCACCTGTGCTGTATGAGATCCATTAGGAAGTCTCATAGGAGTCCAGGCCTGACAAGTGAAGGCTGATCTAGGTTAGTAGCAAAGGTAACTGCAGATGGAGAGTGAGTGAAGTAGGCAAGAAGAATGAATGTACAGGTAGAGCCCACAGTTCTGCTTTCACACTACACATCAGTGACAAATAGTTGAAATCAAATTGTTGGTTCTCTTGGTGCCAAGTTTTTTTGCCAGACTTTTCTGCCTTATCTTGTCTAACCAGTCTTTAAGCATGTCAACATTAGTTGTCTAAACATTTCAGAGAGTCATATGAGTGATACATAGGTCACTAAGTAGTTTGGGTTGCTAAATCATTACTGGAGTAAGTCATGTTCATCAGTGATGTTCTTAATTTAGTTATTTTATTTTATTTTTAAGATTTTATTTATTTATCTTTAGAGGGGAAGGGAGGGAGATAGATATCAATGTATGGTTGCCTCTCGCGGGTCCCTTGCTGGGAACTGGCCTGCAACCCAGGCATGTGCCCTGACTGGGAATTGAACCATGATCCTCTGGTTCACAGGCCTGCGCTCAGTCCACTGAGCTACACCAGCCAGGGCTCTTAATTTAGTTTTTATTTGTTTGTTTTCTAAGTTACCTTTATACATCCATTCTTGTCTATTAGGTTGTCTAAGCTGGGACCTTGGGAAACTTGCAATTCTGTGCCCTCATTTGACAGAGGGGCAACAGGACGGTGTGGAGAAGGGGGTTGCATACAGTGTCACAGTCACTTTATGGCAGAGCCAGAGTTTCCAGGTTTTACTTAACCACTAAGCCGTACTGGTCATTGTAATTTTTGAGACTGATTTTGACAAGTCTGGACAGGTTGATTACTTAACTGTATTGCTCCTAAATTATAAATCTCAGTATGTGAGTAACTTTTTAAAAAATTGAGAACTTCTGAATTTCAACTTGAAGTTTAAACATTTTATCCAGTTAACACATTATTTACCATATTTCCTTCTTCCTGAAATGTGGTTCTTCTTCAGTTATAATCAACTCCCTTAGTTGCTGGTGACTGTTCCCTTTTCAGCTGTCACTGTGAGAATTCTCCAAGGTTGTCCTTTGTTGCCTTATTACTGTACAAGCACATTCCCTTGGCTATTTCATCTACAATTAGAGCTCAATTTTTTTTTTAATTTAAAAGAGCCTAGCTAGATTGACCTAGACCCTTCTCCTAAGCTTGAGTTACCTTTCTAATTGCCTGCTGAATTGCTCCACATGGACACACTGCGACCATCTTTCTTTCCAGACCGACTCACATTGGCTTCCTGTCTCCAGTCAACAGCATCAGCACCCTCGCAGCTGCTCCGGCTCAAAATCTTAGCGTCATGTTCTGCTCTTTCTGCTTTTTCACTCCTGTTCCCCATGCTGGCAGTTGTGCAGTCCTGTTAATTCATCCTTTTAATCACTTTCACCTCTTTTTTGCCATTGCCACTACTCTGTTTATGGCCCTTTACATTTCTTTTAAGATTAGGGGTCATCTTCTCTGCCATACCCTGTTACCAGGGAAACCTAAAGCACATTTATGATTATTAGGGAAATGCAGGTGCAGATCACAATGAGATACTACTTCATGCCCTTTAGGATGATTGTCATTAAAAAAGCAGAAAATAACAGCCGTTAGTGAGGATGTAAAGGAATTAGAACCGCCATGCGTTGCTGGTAGGAGAATGTAAAGTGGTGCAGCTGCTATGGAAAGTTTGGTAGTTTCTCAAAAACACATATAAAATGACTATGTGATCCTGAACTTCCACCACTAGGTATATCCCCCCCCAAAAAAAAAAATTGAAAGAGGCAACTCAGACAGATACGTCTATGCCAAATGCTCATAGCAGCATTGTTCACAACAGCCAAAAGGTGGAAACAGCCCGAGTGTACATCAACAGATGAATGGGTAAACAAATGTGGTGTGTCCCTATATGGAGTATTATTCAGCCATAAAAAGGAATGCAGTTCTTATACATGCTACAACATAGATGAACCTTGAAAACATGCTAAGTGAAATAAGCCAGATACAAAGGACAAGTTTTGTATGATTCCACTTAATATGTACTTGCTAGAGTAGGTAAGGTCGTAGAGATAAAAAGTAAAATAGTGGCTTCTAGGAGTTGGGGGGAGGATTAGACCCATTAGACTGTGGGTACACAGTTTCTATTTGGGGTGATGAAAATGTCCTGGAATGGATCATGGTGTGTTTTACAACATTGAGAATGCATGTACCCAATGCCACTGAACCGTATACTTAAAAATGGTTACAATGCTAAATTTTATGTGTATTTTACCACATTTAAAATTCTCAGACTTTATATAATATTCAACATAAACATTTTAAAGGCCTTCTATAGTCTGTTTACTTTTCTAATTCTGTATTTTATACCATATTTTGCCATGTATAATGTGCTCCCATGTATGGTGCACACCCACATTTTTGGCTCAAACTTTTAGGAAAAAATGTTTCACTTTCTTTTTTTACTGAATTAATTAATTAATATTTAAAAACAAAACCGATGATGATATTCCAGGGTATTATCTTGCATATGGATACCATTATTGTTTTCTCCAGAGTTACACTTTTAATGCACAAGCATAAATAAAAGAATTTAAAACATTTACATAGATAGGGAATCAGTACTACCCATGTATAATGTGCATCCTTATTTTTCCCTCAGAAATTTGGGTAAAAAAAAAGCGCATTATATACAACAAAATACGGTACTTAATTAACCCTAAGTCTTATCTTTGGTCTCAGAGCTTTTTTTGCTCAAGCTATATAGTGTGCCTCCCTAAGATGCAGGTCAAAAGATACTTCCACAAAACTTCCCAAGATATAACCCATGAAAGTAAGTCTTTTTCTCCTCATCTCTGTTAGTATTTTGGACCTCTCACAGCACTCAGCACCTTCTGTCTTATGGTAAAGTTATTTGCCTGCACCCGTGTCTCCAACAGGACTGTGAGTTAATTCACTACTTTCATGTGGTAGGCGCTCAGTGTTCACTGAACTGAATCGAATCCAAATCCCCTCATTTTAGGGATGGGGACGTGGGAATCCAGGGAAGTCACACAGTGACAGCACCGGGACTAGCTTCAAGGCCTCTGTCTTCTAGTTCAAAAATCTTCCTCCTGCATTACCAGGCTGCCTGTCATGACGCCTGTGGATTTTCACTCTCTGTTGGTAGTGGATGACTGAATGTTGTGCTGCAGAATACACGCCAGGGCCTATCTACATTTTTTTCATTTATTTAGAAAATGGCCTGTTTTACTTGAAATCTTTGTACATATGAAGATCCCAATGTATTTTTGTTCTGCTTTCAGCTTCATGTTTCCAGTTGCAGGTGGAATAAGACCCCCTCAAGGTAAGTGAAAGGTTAAGTTTATGTTTCATTATTATGTTTCCGACTTGGAGATTAGGTGGGTAAAGAGATTTTATTGTGCCAAATAGAGTAAAATCTCCCTGTGGTCTTGAATGTATATGATAGCTTCTCTTAAAATGTCTCAAAAATTATGTAATTTGAGGAATAATAAGAATCATTTCTCATTTCTCCCAAACTTATTTAAACATTGTATTTATAGCCCTGACTGGTGTGGCTCAGTGGGTTGAGCATTGTCCCTCAAACTGAAAGGTCACTGGTTCAATTCCCAGTCAGGGCACATACCTGGGTTGCAGACCAGGTCCCCAGCTGGGGGCATGGGAGAGGCAATGATTGATGTTTCTCTAACACATTGATATTTCTCTCCCTCCCTCTCTAAATAAAATCTTTTTTTTTTAAGATTGGCCCAATTGTTGTTTAATCAAGTAATTCAATAAATTTGCAAGGTAACAAGATAGTATTTAAAATTCTTTTCCAGTTTTTAATATTTTATGAACGTGTGTTTCCCTTTTTTAGTAATTTTTATTGCATTTTTCTATTACAGTTTAGCCCTCTTATAGTCCTCTCCCCCCTGCAATCATCACACTGTTGTCCGTGTCCATGAGTCCTTTTTCTTCAGTCCCTCCATTCCCTAACTTCCCCTCCACCCTGATAGTTGTCATCTTGCTCTCTATGAGTCTGTCTCTATTTTGCATGTTAGTTCAGTTTGTTCTTTAGATTCCAGATACAAGCGAAATCATACGGTATTTGTTTTTCTCTGATTGGCTTATTTCACTTAGCATGATGTTCTCTAGATCCATCCATGCTGTCACAAAGGGTAAATTTTCTTCTTTTTTATAGCTGGGTAGTATTCCATTGTGTAAATGTCCCATAGTTGTTTTATCCACTCATGTACTGATGGACACTTGGGTTGCTTCTATATCTTGGTGCAATGAACATAGGGGCGCTTATGTTCTTTCAAATTAGTGTTTGGGGTTTTTCTGGATATATTCCCAAAGGAAAAAATATATATAACGGTGGGATCTCTGGGTTAAAATGCAGATCTCTTTTTAATGTTTTGAGGTATCTCCATACTGCTTTCCACAGTGGCTGCACCGGTCCGCATTCCCAGCAGCAGTGCACAAGGTTCCCCTTTCTCCACGTCCTCACCAGCACTTGTTTGTTGGTTTATTGATGGTGGCCATTCTGACAGGTGTGAGGTGGTATCTCATTGTGGTTTTAATTTGCATTTCTCTGATGATTAGTGATGTTGAGCATCTTTTCATATGTCTATTGGCCATCTTTGTGTCCTCTCAGGTCCTTTGCCCATTTTTTAATTAGATTGTTTTGGGGTTTTTGGTGTTGAGTTTTATATATTATTTATAAATTTTGGATATTAACCCCTTATCAGATGTATTGGTGAATATGTTCTCCCATTTTGTGGATTGTCTTTTTATTTTGTTGATGGTCTCCTTTGCTCTGCAAAAACTTTTTAGTTTAATGTAGTCCCATTTGTTTATTTTTCCTTTTTGTTTCCCTTGCCTGGGGAGATATGTCAGATAAAATATTGTTACTAGCAGTGATTGAGATTTTACTACCTTTGTTTTCTCTCAAAAAAACAACATGTTATTGACAGATTGTTAACAGTCGACAGAGATGGAGATTTTGAGAACAAGAGAATTAAAGAATTCTCCAAATGACATCTTTTTCCTTCTATCTAGTCCCTTTCTAGACCAGCGATTTTCAATCTTTTTCATCTCATGGCACACATAAACTGATTACTAAAATCTGCAGCACACCACAAGATACATTTTTCTCTGCTCTAACAGAAAATAGTTATAATTCTGACTTATTCACACTGGATAGCTATTGTTGTGTTGGCTGTTGTCATTTTCTGGTTTGACAATCTAAGGAAAAAAGAGGTCAATGCCCCTGACTAAAGGTACTGCATATTTTGAACATTCTTGCAGCACCAGTTGAAAATTGCTGCCCCAAATGGTTAGCTCCACTGGGCAGGGTATGTGTCTGTCTTGTGCCCATTAGCATATTCAGCAGTTTTATACTACCATATTTTCTCTTTATAAATTTGGTCTTATTATAATACATGGTTAGAGGTTACATATTCTGATTGCATTTTAACTATTTTTAGTCTCAGTTTTATTCCTAGCAATTTCTCTCTCTCCTCTCCTGGTTGTAGACAAGGGACCACCAATATCAATTCTGGCTTTCACTTCTAGGAAACAGCAGTGAAGGACAGCCGTGCCACCGGGACACAGCAGGGAAGGGAGCAGATGTCTGCCCTTCCCCTCTTCCTTCTTACTTTTCTCTTTCCACTGCGCCCTCTTTCTCTCCACACACCAGGCTGCTTCTGAAAACTGGCCCTTCTCACAATGCCAGTGTTGACTGCTTATGGTAGACTTGCTAGAGAAACAGACTCCGAGGTCACTGTTAGAGATGAACGATAAAGAGCTGCTCAGTAGCAAGTGGTCAGTGGCTTATACCGTTTTCCATTAATAATCAGTGATGGAGGTTGAGTTTCAGGTAAATTTTTCCAAGGATCAGTTGTATTCTTTGCATTGCGCTCTCATTTATGCATTATTTAAACTATCTGTAATTTGATATGTCCCAGATTTAGATCAAATGGTTTAAGATCTTTTTTTTCGAGATTTATTTATTTTTTTTAATAATTTTTTTTTAGATTTTATTTATTTATCTTTAGAGGGGAAGGAGAGAGGGAGAGAAACATCAATGTATGGTTGCCTCTAGTGCATCCCCTGCAGGGAACTGGCCTGCAGGGAACCCGCCTGCAACCCAGGCATGTGCCCTGACTGGGAATCGAACCGTGATCCTCTGGTTCACAGGCCCATGCTCAATCCACTGAGCTACACCAGCCAGGTATTTATCTATTTTGAGACAGAGGAAGGGAGGGAGATAGAAGGAGAGAAACTTCAATGTGTGAGAGAAACATCAATTGGTTCGCCTCTCACATGCCCCCAACCAGGGACCTAGCCCACAACCCAGGCATGTGCTCTGACTGGGAATCGAACTGGTAACCTTTCAGTTTGTGAGACAATGCCCAGCCCACTGAGCTACACCAGTCGAGGCAAGATCTTTTGTTCTTTAAGAAGGCATTACAATTATGTGTTCATTATCATGGTTTGTATTTCATTTTTATAAACTTTAAAGTAAAAATGTATATATGGAGCAAAGGGACAGGACAAGAAGAGGTCCCAAAAGATTCCCTGATATTTTTTTCTGGAATTTGGATCTGTTTTCGACATTTTCTTCTTTTTACAGAGTATGTTAGAGTGAACTTCTTGATAATTTGAAGGCTTTAAATTATGCATGGATTATTTCTGAAAGCATATGCAAGAAACTGACAGCAGAAGTAGCCATAAGATCATGAGTAGGTAAACAGGAGAAAGGAGAGAAATGAGACTTATTTTTCACTTTGCACACCTTCATACCTTTATTTTTTCCTTTATACCTTTAAAAGTCATACCAAATACCTTAGTTATCCATTCAAGAATTAAATAAAATTAGTTAAAATGAAACTTTACATCCAAAGGAATAATAAGAAAAATATCTTACTATGGTTTTATCCAGCCTGTGCATTCTAATTCTCCATGACACCTTAAGGCCTTTGCATTTGATGTTCCTTTTTCTGGAATACTCTTTTCACATATCCACATGGCTTTCTCCCTTACTTTTTTCAAGTCTTTGCTTAAATGTCACCCTATTGGTAAACCCTTTTCTGACTATGAAACAGAGCCAGTCTTTTCCCTAACTCTCCCTTCCTCCTCACCCTGCTTTATTTGTTGCCCTGCCTTTTATCACCACCTGGCATGTACTTATTTTTATTATTTATTTCCTCCATTGGCAGTGTATGTTCCATGAGGGCAAAGACCTGGTTTTGTTCATTGCTGTGTCCTTAGAATGGTGCCTGACATGGGGTAGGCCCTCAAATACTTCAATACATAATCGAATGAATAAATGAATAGCTTGCCACTAATACATGTTACCTACAAAAGTGGATGTTCATGCTCCTGAAATTAAACTATGTATAAATAACCCTGAAGGTTCATAGAACACACAAGATAAACATGGTATGCTCTGCCTTTAACTTTTCAAATCAAAATTTGATTAAAAGTTTCTTACAGTAGAACCAACATGGGTGTAATATGTGATAAAATGCAAAATTAGATTGAAATTTGTGTTCAGGGTATGTAGGGATTTTGTTCTGTTCACTGTTGTGTACCGAGTATCTAGAACTGTGTCTAAAACGTGGTAGGGGTTTAGTATTTATTAAATACCAGAGGGATATGTCTTTATTCTCCACTGCTCTTGGGAGTGCTTCATTGGAAAAGCTTGGGAGATACTGTACTCTAAGCCATGTTTTCATGATAGTTTTCTTACCATTGCATTATATATTTCACATCCCTGTGGTAAAAGAGAAGAGGAGTATAATTTCTTCAAGCATCTTAGGTATTAAATAGTTTTATGGATTAGAAACCAAGGAACAGCAGTTAAGCAGGTTGCTCAAGGTCCCAAAACTAGTAAGTGACGGTTCAGTTGTCATCTCTTAACCACTATTGCATTAGTTACATGCTGCTACATAAAAAATTAACCAAAAACTTTAAAATTTTTATTGTTTTATCCTGTATTTGGAGTTAGGTATATGGGAGTGGCTTCACTGGGCGGTTTCGGTACAGGACTCAAGTGATTGCAGTAGAGATGTTAGCTAGGGCTGTAGGTGTCTAAAGGTTGATTGGGGCTGGAAGATCTGTTTCCAAGATGGCTCGCTCACAGAGGTGGCAGATCTGTGCTGCCTTTTGGCAAGAGGTTTCAGTTCCTGGCCACGTGGATTCTCCATGGGACTTGCTTGAACGTTCTCATAAGGAAGCAGTGGTTTTCCCTAGAGGAGGTGATCTAACAGTCCAAGGAGGAAGCTGCAGTGATTTTGGTGAACGAAACTGTCATTTCCACAATATTTTATTTGTAATCATGGGCAGCCCTTTTCAGGGTGGGAGAGAATGACGTGGTAAGTATGCACAAAAATTCTGTGAAAAAAGTGTTATTATCTTCCTTTCACAGATGAAGTTTTATAAGTTGGCCAAGATCACATAGCTAAGTATGATGGAGTTGGAATTCACACTTAAGTCTGTCTCACTCCAGAGCCTTTGCTTTTTCCACTAACTCTGCCATCTCCCAAGTGAAAAGTCCTTCGGGTACTTAGAATTTTAAGAAAATACACTTTAGAACACATCGACTTTAATACTACCTTTATGTTTTTCAGCAGGTCTGATGCCCATGCAGCAACAAGGATTTCCTATGGTCTCTGTCATGCAGCCTAATATGCCAGGCATGATAGGAATGAATTACAGCTCTCAAATGTCCCAAGGACCTATTGCTATGCAGGTACTTGCCTCTTTAGCTGATTGTATACAAAGTTATTGATTATTGTTAGTTGTCTATATACTAACAGCTACATGTCAGGACTTTAATGTTGTATTTAGAAATCAGTGCGGTCTACATCTTAGGTGGGTTCCTTCAAAATAAAATGAAGATATGTTCATAAAAGAGAGAAAAAATAAAAGGTCAATCATTTGAAGAAAATCTGGTGACTTCTCTGTGACTTCTGGCTTAGAAGGATTTTAGATTGATAACTTGGAAAACCCAGGGACCTGATGGCATGAAGTCGCATTGTTAGAAGTAGCAGCACAGCTTTCGTGGAAGGAACAGCATCATTGTTCAGAAGGCTGAGAGCCTTCTTTAAGTTATTAAAGTTATCTAAACCCCGTAAGAACTTTTTAAAGAGATGGTATTGCCGTTTTTCTGATGAGGAAACTGAAGGCTTGTGAGGATGCTCACAGCATAGTCAGCCAACTGTTGAACCTAAGTCTTTAGTCCGCTTATGCTTAACCATATTACACACTGAATTCTCTCAAGTCATTAGGGAGCAGGTAGGTTAAAGCAGTGCAATGTCACAACTGGATCTGGATTTCAGAAAGATCATTCTGACTGCTGATTGGAGAATGACTGGAGGCAAAGGAGCAAAAGTGGATATAAGAATCATTAAAGGACTGATGTAGTGAGAGCCGCTGAGATGTTGGCTTCAATTAGGGTGGTAGCAGATGGATGGAGACATGGATGTTTTGAGAACCACTTAACAATAAAATCAGTTGGACTTGCTGAGTGTTTGGATGTGGAAAATAAAGGAGATGGTATCAAATTGATTCCTCATTTTCCACATGAGCAACTGGGGTATCAGTTACTGATAAAAGAAACAGATGGTTTGCTGGTACATATTGTTGACTTTGGAGGACACATGAAACTTCAAGTGGGCCTGTCCAGAGACAGCTTAAAAAGTAAACTCTGGTCATTTTTCACTCTGGGTTGAAAATGAAAGATTTGAGAGTCATATACACATAGAAGGTAGTTGATGCTATAGAGTGAATAGGAACATTTAAGAATACTATAGATGGGCCCTGGCTGATGTGGATCAGTGGATTGAGTGTCAGCCTGTGAACTGAAAGGTCTCCAGTTTAATTCCCAGTCAGGGCACATGCCTGGGTTGTGGGCCAAGTCCCCAGTTGGGGGCATGTGAAAGGCAACCACACACTGATGTTTCTGTCCCTCTCTTTCTCCCTTCCCCTCTGTAAAAATAAATAAATAAAATATTCAAAAACAAAAAGAATACTATAGATGGAAAAAAATAGTCTAGGAAAGAGCCTTCAGCATCTCAACCTGTAAATAAGAGAGTGAGACAAATGCCACGTGATTTCACTTATATGTGGAATTTAAAGAACAAAATAAATGAAAAAAAACAGAATTGGAACAGACTCATAGATATAGTGAATGGACTGATGGTTCCCAGAAGGGAAGGAATTGGGGGACTGGGTGAAAAAGGTGAAGGGATTGAAAAGTACAAATCGGTAGTTACAGAATAGTCTTGAGTGTCTAAAGTAAAGCATAGGAAATATAGTCAACATTGTAATAACCATATATGGTACCAAGTGAGTACTAAAAATATCAGGGGAAACACTTCGTAAAGTATATGCTTGTCTAACTACTATGATATATACCTGACACTAATACAAAGTAATATTGAATATAAATTATAATTGAAAAATAAAATTTAAGCCCTGGCTGGTGTAGCTGAGTGGATTGAGTGCTAGCCTGTGAACCAAAGGGTCATTGGTTTGATTCCTAGTCTAGGGCACATGCCTAGGTTATGGGCCACACCCTCAGTGGGGACATGTGAGAGGCAACCACACACTGATGTTTCTCCTTCTCTTTCTCCCTCCCTTCCCCTCTCTGAAAATAAGTAAAGTCTTAAAAAAATAAAAATTAAATTAAAGAAATAGTGTATGGCAACAAATGAAAACAAAATGTTAAATGTGAACTATAATTCAAAAATAAATTTTAAAATAAGTTAGTCTTAAGTGAATGAGTTGCCAACACAAGAGATTGAAGAGAAGCATAGCCACAGAAGTGGGGAGGTGAATTAAAGAACAAAACATGGGTTTTTGGTAGCAGACCCAAGTTCAAATCCCAGCTTTGTCACTTACCTATAAAACAGAGAAGAAATAATACCTTGGCGGTATGGTTGTAGAAAGGATTGAAGGAATTATATAGCACTTAGCATTTTGGTGCACAGGATGATGCTCCAACCGACTGAGCCACCCGGCCAGGGCAGCATTTTCTTCCTTTTTAGGACTGAATAGTAGTCCGTCGTATATATGTACCCACACTGCTTATTCATTCATAGATTGGTGGACACGTGGGTTGCTTTCCTGTTTTAGCTACTGTGAATAACGCTGCTATGAACACGGCTATACACATGTCTCTCTGAGACTCTGCTTTCAGTTCTTTGGGGTGTATACCCAGAAGTGGAATTGCTGGGTCATGTGGTAATTCTGTTTTGAATTTTTAAAAAATATTTTATTTATTTAATTTTAGAGAGAGGGGAAGGGAAAGAGAAAGAGTGGGAGAGAAACATCTGTGGTTGCCTCTCATGCGTCCCTTACTGGGAACCTGGCCTGCAACCCAGTAATGTGCCCTGACTGGGAATCGAACCAGTGACCCTTTGCTTCACAGGCCCGTGCTCAATCCACTGGGCTACACCAGCCAGGGCTATTTTTAATTTTTTGAGGAACCTCCATGCTGTTTTTCCATAGTAGCTGTACCATTTTACATTCTCACCAACAGTGCAAAGAAGTTCCAATTTCTCCAAATACTTGTCAACCTTGTTGGTTTCTGGGTTGTTGTTTTTTTATAGTAGCGATCCTAATTGGTGTGAGGTGGTATCTCAGAGGGGGAATACAGTGGAAGTAAACCTGTTTACACATGGACTTGAAGTTGACTTCCTGTCATTTGATGGCCCAGGGAAACAGGTCTTGAATTTGGATTAAAGTGTTCCAATTTTGCAGTGTCTCCTGGCATAAATTTCATTAGGTATCTAACAGAATCCTCTCCAGAGAATATACTATTCCTTTAGCATAAATATGTTCCTACAAATAAATCTCTAAACGCAGTGTTCAATGCACAAAAACACAGAAACAGAACAGCAAGGATGGGGACCAACAGACATGTAGACAACAGAAACAACAACTGCAAAATCACATCAGTTATGGAAATAGCAGACAAGACTATGGCACAACTATATTTTCTGTGGTCTAAGAAATACAAGCTGAATTATAAAATTTTGGCAGGGAACATGAAATTAGAAATAAATGACAGCAGATTTGAGTAAATAAATAGAAATTTCACAATTAAAAAGTGTTAATCAAAAGAACTCTGGATGAGTTTAACAGCAGATTAGAAATGGCTGAAGGAAAAAATTAGTGACCTGAAGACTGGTTAGCAGAAATATCTAAAATACAGTCTGACAAAATGGAAAGGTAGAAAGTATGTGGGATTTTAAATCTACAGTGAGAAGGTTTAACATATTTAGTTGGAGTCTTTGAAAGCAAGAAAGGGTAATGGCTGAGAAGTTTCCAGGACTATTGAAAGACATATTGATACACAGATTCAGATAGCCTAATAAATTCAACCAAGATTGTATTAGTTATTTAATGCTGCATTAATAAATTGCCCTGAAATTTAGTGCTTCAAACAGCAATAAACACCTCTCAGTTTCTGTGGGCCAGAAATTGGAGAGTAGCTGTAGCTGGGTGTTTCTGGCCTGGAATCTCATGAGGTTTTTAGTCAAGCAGTTGGCTGGGCTGCATTCAGTAAAAGCTTTACTGGGGCTGGAGGATCTGCTTCCAAGACGTCCCACTCAGTGGCTGGCAGCTCAGTGCGGGCTGTTGGCAGGAGGCTCAGATGGACTTCTAGTTCCACGTGGACCTCTCCAGAGTGCGTGATTCAAGAGAGGAAGGTGGAAGCTACAGTATCTTTTATAACCCAGCCACCCTTGATCATGTCCCCCAACACCAGGACTGTACTGGGACTATGGCACAAGGATACGAGTACCAGGCAGTGAGAATAAGTAAATATAAATCCTCATCTCCCGGCACACAGAGAAACTGCAGGAACCAAAGACAGAGAAAATCTCAAAAGCAGCCAAAGGGGAAAAAATGAAAGCCAAAAGGCATTGGGATGATGTTTTCAATGTACTGACTGAAAATAACTGCAACCTTTAAGAGTGAAGGTAAAGCCATTTTTCCAGGAAAAAACGGAATGACTTTCAATAAATGAAATTCTACATAAAGTAAGAACAGAAGGACCTTAGGCAAAAGAAGAAATGATCTCAGATGGAAAATCAGATGCAGGAAAAACACGAAGAATAAAGGAAGAGATACATATGTGGTGAATCTAAATGTTTATAGTCTCTGTAAAAATAATGTCTTTATGAATTTTAAAAATATTCAGAGAATTAAAATACATATAATAGTATGTAACTTGGGGGGCTAGTAAATGGAATTAGTGTTTTAAGATCATTGGAATCTGTGAAATAAAGATACTAACATTAGACTTTGGTGAGTTAAGAATGTGTGCTGTAATTTCAAGGGTAACCTTAATAGCTTACCCTAACCAAATACTGGTTACCAAGTAACCAGTACTTAATACTTCATAACCAAGTAAAGGTGAAAAAAGAATGGGAAAAAAATAACCAATCCAAAAAAAATACAAGAAGAAAAAGTGGGACAAATTATAAAATAAGGTAGTTTTGAACCCAAATATATCAGTAATTTTGTTAATGTTAATGGTCTAGAGGATTCATTTAAAAAGACAAAATTCAAGCCCTAGCCTGACAGCTTAGGTTGGTTAGAGTATTTCCTGATATGCCAAGGTTGCGGGTTCAATCCCCGGTTGGGGCACATATGAAAATCAGCCAGTGAATCCATAAATAAGTGCAACAACAAATCGATGTTTCTCTCTCTCTCCCCCTCCCTTTCAAATCAGTGAACTAAAAATAAAAATAATAATAATAATAATAAATACAAAAGGCAATATTATATTTAATGCTTGGAAGGGATACATTCAAAACATAAGGATACAGGAAACTTTAAAGGAGTAAAAAAATAGGTAAATACTAAAAACAACCCCAAAAAGTGATAGCTAAAGGAAAACCAGACAAAAATATACTTTAAGGCAAAAATTCTTAAAAGCCTGGCAGTGAAGGTGTCTTTCATCATGATAAGAGGTTAAATTCACCGGAAAGATGTAACAGTTTCACATTCGTATGCACCAAGTAACTTGGCCTTAAAATAGGTCAAGATAGAAACTGACAGAATGACAAGGAAAAAGACAAATCCACAAACTGTAAAGTCATAGGTTTAAATTCTTACCAAGGTTGACTAGTGGATAATAGTACACTGTTCCCCCACCCCTAAATTGCAAAATATACTTTCTTTTTAAGAAAACAGAATATTTATTAAAAATGAACCATATACTGGCCTGTAGCAATTCTCAAGAAACTTCAAAGGATTGAAATTCTGTATAGTAGTCCTCATAAGGCAGGCCTACATTGGGGGTCTGTTTGAGATTTATGGTCAAGAATTTGAAGTGAGTCCTCAAGGTTTTTCTCTTCAGTGAGGTTCAGTGGCTTGGGTATTAGGATCAGAGAAGGAGATTAATGGACTCTAACCAGGGGGGAGGTTTCCCAGGAGACCATACCAAAGAAGCAAGAGGTAAAGGAGTTAAAGAGCTTACAAGGGCATTTAATATTGAACTCTGGAGTCTACGCTGGGCAGGAAGAGAAGTGAGGTCATGAAGATGATGGGCAACAGGAAAGTGGGTGAGATTAATGGACGGGAGGCATTAATGAGACAGGAGGATTGCTGGGGTGTGTGAGCTGGAAGGACAGGAGGTGGTGGTCGAGTGTGGGCATGCTTATCAGGATGATACGTGTCTGGGTGAACAGAACAGTCACACTGACCCAGCACACACAAGATTAACACTGTAGACACTTCTCTTCAAACACCATTTTAAATATTGGCATTTTGGAACTATATGTCAAATCAACAAGAGTATGTGAAACACTAGGAGTCGTTATCTTCACCACCTTTCTAGTTCCCTTATACATGGGAGAAGGATGAGATTTTCAGTTTTTGTAATTCCCAAATAGTTGCTTCATTTAGAGTGAGTTAACACCTTAAAAAAAAAGCAAATCTGCTGGTTTATCACTTTGTTGTCATTAAATCTGTGTGCTCATGTGACTTCTGTCACATCAGAACCAATATTTCATGAGTGTCACCTTTGGCTCTAGAACTTACCTTGTTTAGCACAGGGGTGGGCTTATCCCAGCACATACAACTCTTGAAGTTATTTGAAAATTCAGCTGGAGGGCCAAACATAACTTATAAACCAATGTACTGATATTTTAAGAACATTTTACATGTATGAGTAAAGTCAACTGCCATCTTTGAGCATTACCACATTTTAAAATAGGGCTGCATATTTGTAAATGAAGTGTTTAAAAAGGATCTATATTTTTCTTTTTTTAATTAAAAGTAATTTATATTTCCCCCCAAAATTATGTTGGGATGCTTAAAAGCCAGACTTTGGAGATGGTGAAGTAACTGGGGCTGATGGTCAAGTTGGAACGGTATGTTGGACATGGCTGTTGTGAGGAGGTGAGAGACCCAAAAGGCCACAGTGTTAGATGAACCATTCACGTGATTATTGGTATCACGAAGTCACCGAGTGCAGCGTAGGAGTGGAATGGAAGATAGCAAGGTTCTGAAGACTTCAACTGAAGCATGAGGTAGTTTGAGGATTGTAGATGACATAGGATAGTAAATGATGAAATTTGATAGCAAGAAATTAAAATGTATTCAAGTCTTTGAAGGAGGACAGAGGAGAAAAGGTTTGTAAGCAGTAAGAGTGTGGGAGAGCAGCAGTAATCTCCAAATGAGAGGGCTTCCAGGGACAGCCAGGTTTTCAGTTAGGGAGGGGGGAGCTTCTAAGGAGGAGGTTAAGGAGTAGAAGAATTTTCACTCAGTAAAAATTAAACTTCCATTATCATTGATATATCATTTATTATTTTTAAAGGTTAGTAACTTTTTAAAAAAGATTTTATTTCTTTTTAGAGAGAGGGGAAGGAAGGGAGAGAGGGAGAGAAACTTCGATGTGCGAGGGAAGGATTGATTGGTTCATCTGCCCCCTCTCACCTGCCCCCAACTGGTGTTCTGGCCCACAATCCAGGCATGTGCCCTGACCTGGAATTGAACTGATGACTTTTTGGTTTGCTGGATCACCTTCAACCCACTGAACCAGTCAGGGCTGAAGTATCATTTATTATTGACTAAATATAGTTTATTTACAGTAAGAATTTGGATATTAGACTTGTGATAATGAATGTCAAAATATTCATTATTCATGCATGTTGGAAAAACATGTTTAATCTTATTTGTGGAATAACTACCATGTAGCAGTCTCTTATCTACTACTGGAAATAAAGTCTTGTAAGATATATCTCTTCTCAAAGAGTGGGCATTAGTAAGCTCACCAGAATATAACTTGGGTATATGTGTGTTTCCCTACACACTCATCCTGAAAGATTTACACACACACACCCTCAGACCATTAGCAGTGGTCATCTCTGGGACAATGAAGGACGTGAAGGGAATGAGATATTAAGGGGAGCTTTCAATGTTTAGCTTATGTTCTTTGAACCCTTTATTGAAATGCACTTATATAGCTCGTTAATAAAAATATTGAGAAAGAATTTATGGAAGTCACAGTTTTTCTTTGTAGTAATTGGAGAAATTGTGGGTTTTGAGCCTTTGTCCTTTTCTTCTAGGCAGGAATACCAATGGGACCAGTGCCAGCAGCAGGAATGCCTTACCTGGGACAAGCGCCATTCCTGGGGATGCGTCCTCCAGGCCCACAATACACTCCAGACATGCAGAAGCAGTTTGCCGAAGAGCAGCAGTAAGGGACCATGGGATTCAAGGATAAGAAACACAATAGCCATTATTTTAAACATTTCAAATGTTCTCTAATGCAAATTCAAAGTCTAAATAGTCATGTTGCCTTTAACACTCTTCAAAATACTTTTACTATAAGTTTAAAGCCAGAAGGGACCTTAGAGATTCTCTCATTCAACCCTCTAATTGTACATCTGGGGAAAGTGAGGTCCAGAGAAATGAAGCCACTTGTGAGTCCAGGTTACACAGTTACAAGCAAAGCCTGGACTCAAAGGCAGGCCTCTTGACTCCCAGACAGTTGCTCTTTCTCCCATATGACATGCTTTCCCAAGAGGAAGTTTCTTTTTTATATGCAGAGCAAAAGTGCTTTTATTTTGTCTGCTTCCTTATCTGTTTTTTGAGGTTGCTTTTGAATGCAAAAGATTGTTTTCCCTTGCAAATTAGACAAGAAATTCATGTCTTAGGTAAGTCATTTTTTAGACTCATAGACAGTGCCCAGCACAAATAACACCCCTTTTTTATTACAAACTCTTTTATTGCAAAATCATAAGCATGTAATTCTGTAACATAACTATCACACTTGAGCATACCATATGACATTTTAGATGAAGTGTTCAAATTAAAATTATAAATTATTACACCCATATTATTACCCTACCACCCACACTCAAGCAGGCGTTACTTCTGCCAGACCCTATATTTTTGAAGTTAATATAGTGGGGAAATAGGACTGTCATAAAGAAACTAGATATAATTAGCAGAGAAGTTTTTAGTTCTAGAAATATGATATTATTGAAATTGTTGGTAGAAATATTAATGTGACACAGTTGATAATCCTTGAAGCTTTACTAGAATGTTTTTCCTCCAGAAAACGATTTGAACAGCAGCAAAAGCTCTTAGAAGAAGAAAGAAAAAGGCGTCAGTTTGAAGAACAGAAACAAAAGCTCAGACTTCTGAGTAGTGTGAAACCCAAGGTAAAATATTCCGCCACCCTCCACCACAGCACACACACTCCTGCATGTGCCTCTTCTCACTCATCCAGTAGATTTTGTCATTTAGCAGCCAAACTGAGGCTGTGGTTGGTTCATTTTAGTTTACCAAAATCCAAAAGTAAACGGTTTTCCTTCTCCTATAAAAGACACTGTATCGTTGAGGGAACAAGCTATCATCGAGTCTTCTCAACTCTCTTTTACTAGCATTGGAATGTTTGTAGTCTTGTCTAGGGAAGCATTAATACAGAATATTAATGTATTAACATAATATGACAGCTGCATCCTAAGATATTTATAAATGGGCCTTTTAATATTTTTATGTTCTATAAAAATATTCTGTAGACTCTATAGTATACAGAATGTCATGTTATGCCTTTGTTTTATGCACTAAGTGTTTTTCTGATTTGAAGAATTCACTATCAGAGGTATGTGGTAGCCCTGGCTGGTGTGGGTCAGTGGATTGAGTGCTGGCCAGTGAACCAAAAGGTCGCCAGTTCCATTCCTGGTCAGGGCACATGCCTGGGTTGTGGGCCAGGTCCTCAGTTAGGGGCATGCGAGAAGCAACCAGTCTATGTATCCCTAGCACGTCGATGTTTCCCTCCCTCTGTTTCTCTCCTTTCCTTCCCCTCTCTAAAAAATAAATAAATCTTAAAAAAAAAGATGTGGTAAAACATTGGGAACAGACTAATATCTATACTTTTAATTTGGGAGTATTTAGAAGTGAGAGATAAGTGCAGAAATATGAATATGTTTCTTGTCTCTTAGACAGGAGAGAAGAGCAGAGATGATGCTTTGGAAGCCATAAAAGGAAACTTAGATGGGTTTTCCAGAGATGCTAAGATGCACCCTACTCCAGCATCACACCCTAAGAAACCAGGTATTTTAAGTTAAAGGTTTTCTTTTGTTGGAAGGTGATTTATGTTCCATGTGTGTTTAATTGGCCATTGTATGTGTGAAGAGCCAGTGCTGACCTCTTCCTTCAAGCTAAGTACAGATTTGGACGTCTTAAAGTTTATAGTGGGTTAACAGTTCTGATCTGGATAACTGTCTTGGGAGGAGAAAAACTTCTTTGTCTTCTAGAAAATGCTAGTATGTCAAGTTCACTTGGAACTCTTCTATGTATATGAGTGTGTTAACAGTAGTAAAATCCATTTAGTCAAAGCAAATGTCATAAAGGCATTTATTATTTTATTCTCATTGTTTTAAAGGAATTTTGCTTTTTATGAGCTAATTCAGATTTTATTTAATTTGATTAAACTTAGAAATTTTTTAAATGCCCCCTTTAAAAAAGTCATGGGTTTAAAAATGCTCCTCATGAAATTTTAGTTTCTTTAATACATTTATTTGTAGTTTTTATTACAATTTATCATCAGATAATCAAAAAAAGTGCCTATTTAGAGTAGGGTAAAGGGATAGTTTTTTTGCATGTGTTTTGAACATTTAACAATTGAAATGAGTCTTACCTTTATATGTAACTTAACATACCCTTTTTAAGTTTGATACTTAATATTCTCAACTGATTTCAAGAATAACATACCATTAATAGATGAACAGCTTTCATAAATCATTCAACCAGTCAAGTACTATTTCCTGCTGGCATATATTATATTGATAAATTTTATCTTAAATCCTTATATAGTTCCATTTATAGGAGATGTCAGGAGAGAATACTCCAATATTGTCACAGTAACCAGTTTTCAACTTTCGGGGGCAGCTTTGGCTCTGTCCTATTAATTTTACCTGTTACTCAGGTGAAATTATATACTCAGATTATATACTCAGATTATCGTTTCAAAAATATGCCCCAAAGTAAAGTATACACAGATTGAAAAGAAAATGGATATTAGCAATCAGGTTGAGTCCAGAAAACGTATCTTAAAAGTGAAAATTATAAGCTGGTCAAGAAGTAATGTAAGAATAGATATTAGAATGCTAAAACTGGACCCGATGTGGAACAAAGGAGAAGGCGGCAGAGAGGATTGGTAATTTTTAGGTCTAACATTGTTCTACCCATATTGAATGCCTTTTTTAGGCAACCTGGTGTCGTTTAACAACCTCACTGTGAAATAATAAATTGGCGATTTGATACTCAAATAATCTTGTGAGTTCAGTCAACATGCGTGCAGTTAGCTGTTTCTAGTTAACTGCCTCATGCTTAGCCAGCAAAGGATTTTTCTGGAGCAAGCCCAGGGAATTTTTAGAGCTTCTTCAGTTAGAGTCTTAAACTTAGGCCTAAAGTGTATAGAGTTTCCAGTCTTTTTTTTTTTACCACCAAAGGCATCTTTACATTTGCCCCCACAGACTAAATATTGACTATACAAACTGTATTGACCATAAAATGTTTCTACTTTTTATTAATCATATATAGAACTGCAAGAATTTATAAGCCAAAATATATACCACATAGAATTCACATAATTCCCATAAAATAAAGAAACATTGGTTTAGCTTTTGCAGCCATATTACTAATAAATAGGTCCATTAAAAAATGGAGTCATTCTCCATTTTCCATTACTACTTCTTTACACCTAAATTGAAAACTTATGTGTCATACATTTCTTTCTTACTGGCATAATGAAATTTAATCATCAGAGTCTGTTTCTGTTCAAAATGTCTTTGGCAGCATTTGGTAGCTTTTCTTATTTCTGGTGTGTATTAGTTTGAAAGAATATTATCCAGGTAAATAGATCACTTGAGTTTCAAAAGTAATCATCACTTCAATGTAAATTATTGGTGGTCTCAGGGGAAAAAATTAGTACTAACTTAATAAAAGAAGGAAAGAAATTTTGAGTTTTATATTTTTCTGGTTTTGAACAAAATGCAAAATAACTATAAAACCTTTTTAAAAAGACAAAAGATATGTATGAATAGACAGAGTACTTTGCATTGGTTGTGTAAGTCCATTTGACTCTCGTCACGTTATTTCCTGTTCACCTGCACTATTCATATTTCGATATATTCTTTTGGAATTGTGCTACACCTTAATTTCTTTCTCTCTATGGTTTTCATTTCTGTGTGTTTCATTGCCACTTTCCATTTTGCAGATTATCCCACATCATCTCATTCTAAAACTGTCTCCCCATCACCTGCCTTTCTTGATGAAGAAGAATTCAGTGACTTTATGCAGGGGCCTGTTGAAGTTCCCACATGTGGGCCTTCTTCCACTTCCCAGCCTTTTCAGTCTTTCCATCCCACCACCCCACTTGGCCAGTTGCACACACAGAAGGCTGGAGCACAGCCTCTCCCTCCAGGTCAGATTCTAGTGTCTTTTGCCTTACATGGTGTCCCTGGACAAATTCCTTATTTCCCTACTGCTTCAGCCTTATACAATGTACAGAGAGCAGGTAACTCCTAGAATATTAATGAAAGTATTCCTAAGATAATCTAGGCTTATTTATTTCTCTTATATACATTGAATAATACAGTGATGTTGACAAAGAAGCACGTACCTGAATATATGCGTACTATTGAAATTCACCAAAATAAGAAACTAGATTTTTAAACTTTGAGTGCCTTACTTTTCAGAAAAGTGATTGAAAACTTTTGCTTCTAAATTAGATATTATTTAAGCCACCTTAGAATTTTAAAAAGAAACAGATTTCTTCAGAAGATTACTCTTATTTGGGAAAAATCACTAATACCATTTTCATAAAAGAAATGAGCCAAGGAAAGCCGCTTTAGAAAGTGCTCTCTCTAGTTCAGATTCTTCATTTATTATCAGTTTGTCCTCAGATGAATCTTTAAACACTTCTGTACCTCATTTTTATCACTGTGAAGTAATGGGGTTGGGGCAGGTGGCAAGATACCATGCCATGAGACATGAGTAGTGCCGAGAGGGATCTCAGCTGATGCGCACTTACTACAAGCCTTTTCAGTCAACAGAGGTAGAAACAGCCCCAAAGATGACGTTGCTGGCCAGGGGTATCACCAGTAATTAGTGTGAGTGTCCACATCTTGTGTAGCCACCAGATTTCTAAGGTAGTACTTCTTCCACTATACCATTCTACCTGCTGTCTCACTGCATTCTTGAGAATCAAAGTAGGTAATGATGTTTAAGTTCTTTAAAATCTCTAAGTCTCTGAAGTCCTGTACACATGTGTAGTGACTGAGGGTGTTCCCTTTAGAATCTGGGGTGGAAATGGGTGATTGAAAAAATTGGAAATTTGCAGTTATATACAAATAATCCTTCATGCTATTTGTTTAGGCCCTTCTTTGGAGGAGAAGCTCTTAGTATCTTGTGATATAAGTACATCTGGGCAGGAACAACTTAAGTTAAATACTTCTGAAGTTGGGCACAGAGCCCAAGGTCCAGGTTCCAGTAAGAACCATCCCCGTTTTACAGCCACTGTCAGGGGTGCTGTAGATGGACGTGTAAGTGGCACCGCTACTGCAGAGGCAGAAAAGACTTCAGAACAAAACCTGCCTGTTGAAGAGAGTGGTGAGCTCATGAAATATTCAGCAAAAAGTTTATTTAACCAAATGCCGCTCAAATGCTAACACCTTAAGCGTTAATCTTAAAATGAATGCTGCTTGATTTTGCTAATCAGAATTTTGCTTAAAACATATTTAATGCATTCCTTTCTCCAATTAACCCCTATGAGTTTGCTCTGAATTCTTTCAATAAACTGTTATTCCTTTTAAAAATTTTTGATAGTTTTTAAAATCAGAATCATTCTTGAAATTTATTTTATAAAAACTCTTTTTTTCCCCCTCTTGCACTTTGTCTTCTTCCATAAAGGTTGACAAGTTTAAATTTAACTGGAAAAGTCACCAATGAGAATATAGTTTTGCTTCTCAGAAGTAAATCTGAGACACTACTCTCTAAAAGTTTGTGACTTGTTCTGAACTCAGCTTGCAGAGATGAATTAGAATGTGGGCAGCCTAGGAGGTAAATTTTGCAGGATATTTCACTGGACAAAATAAAAAACAAAAATCCTATATATCTGAGGCAGCGGTGTCATAATCAGGTAAAAAGAAATCAGATGTAAAGATATATTAAAAGCTGTTAAGTCAAGTCTGGTTAACTACATTTTTTTTTACTATGTAATTTTTAAACCACTGATTATTTTATTTTTTCTTTTAATTTGTAATACATGTGAAGTGGTGAAAGCCTCATATGATTCAGAATGTTGATTTGGTACATCTTCGGGGGTTTTTTTTAGTAGACTCTTTAGGACTTAGTAATGTATAGGAGTTGTTTAGAAACCAAATATTTTAATTGTATTGGTGACTTTTTTTTGGTGTCTCCAGCCTGTGCTCTTTTTATAAAATACTATGACTCAGTGTGCTTCCCGCATCTCCTAAATGGACCATTATATACTCGAGATAATGTTCCTTATTTTCCTGTAGGTGTGGCTGTATTTCCCTCACAGGATCCTGTTCAGCCCAGAATGCCTCCGTGGATTTGCAATGAGAGTTTGGTTCCAGGTAATAAAAGCTTTGTCCAAGATCCCCATCTGGACATTTTGCTTTAAATGTTGTAAATGTAGTTGTAACTACTATCATAGTTATAAAATACACAGAAGGAATTGTAACTTTCCTTGTTTATTTTTTTTCTGAAAGAGTGCAGAAAATTAGATAGATCTAGTGTTTCTTAATGCTTCCTCATCTATGAAATAACTGTATAAGTGAAGGGGAAATGTTTTGCTTTAATGTTTATTGACCTACCATATACTTTTATTTCTAAAAATTTTTATCATGCTTTAAAAGACATCAAATATTTTTACAGATTATTAACTTATCAAGAGTATCACTAATATATGTGATGCAATTTTCTGAACTCTTGGTGATTAGTTTATATTTTTAAAATATTCCTATGACTTTTTTGTCATGTGATAGTATATGAAATAAAAGACCAGGTAGCAGATCTTCTTCTACACTAGCAGATGATGGTCACTTTTTTCTTTAAGTATGTTATTACTGCTGAGCCCAAAAAATTTACCATGGTGTACATTTTGTGATAGTGTTCAGCCGATACAAAGAAAAAGTCTGTTTAAGACCTGCTTGATGGGCACAGAATAATGACTATTACAACAGAATATGTTCATCAGTCTTAATAAATTGTAAGGTTACATTTGCTGTACTTTGCCAGCCCCTTGTAAACTAAAGGTAACTTTTCATCAGATCTTCAGTTTTCTAGATTGTTTATAGACTAAAGTCATTCCACATTTGATTAAATAAAACTCATGCAAGATCCCTATAGCTGAACTTCTTTCTGAAAGAAGCCGGTCATGTCTACTTTACATCATAATCACATAATCACAAATTGAAAGGCTAATTTACCAAATCAGTATGGGACTTTAGTTGTACAGGAAAACAATAGGTTTCCTTCCACCTGCCCATGAGACAGTTTGCATCTTTTCTTCTTCCTCTCTGTCTTCAAGCCAAACAAAATTTGGATCTTGTGTATTTTGGAGTTCTGTCCATTTTCTGCCAGCTTGTTGGGTTTTTTTTCTTTCTTTTTCTCCCAAACATATGTGTACATAGAATTTCCTCACCAAAATATGTGTTGTCATGACCAGGCTGTTACCCTGCAATCCATATTTAAATCATAGGTGTAAAGTTTTTGCTTTAAACATTTTCCTCTACCGTTCCCCTGCCCACTTTCAGCCCCCAAACTCCTCTAACAAGAGTTGTCAGATTCAGCAAATAAGCATACGGAACATCCAGTAAAATTGAATTTTAAATTAACGGCAAAAAATTGTTTAGTATAAGTATATTCCATGCAGTATTGGCATCCTGTATGTTTTATGGCAACCTTGTCTCTGACAGCCTTTCTCACTTTGTCCTTTCGGAACTCCATTTTATTATGAGAACTCTCCCCTTTTTCTGCTTCCTCGCCTTAACTGAAACCGAATTTTTCTCTGAAGGCTCTGTTTTCATAGCACCTTACCCAGTGATGTTTCCTCTCCCAGGCGTCAGGGCAGGAAAGAGGTGGTACTTGTATAATTCGCACTTGTATAATTCTTGCCTCCAACTGCTGTTTTCAAACTATTACCACCATCATTACTCTACAGATTCTTTTTTAAACTCCAAAGATGTACCACCTACATCTTACTGTTTTTACTGTCTTCCACTAATTGTGAGACTTCATCTTACCCTTAGTCTCAAATCTTTCATCTTTAGGACCCAGCTCCAACCTCTCTTTTAAGTACCAGACCCCAATTGTCTGCTAGATATTTGCACGGGAATATCTTGACAGCAGTTCACACTCTGACGTGGTTTTGGTTCTATTAAAGCTGTTCGACTTAAGATTATTCACAGATAAGCAACAATGACAAAAAAGATTAATCATTTGAAATATATTTATGTTTCTAATCTGGTCTTTCCTTTAATAGATGCCTATAAGAAAATCTTGGAAACCACAATGACTCCAACTGGAATTGATACTGCAAAACTGTATCCCATTCTGATGTCATCTGGACTTCCCAGGGAAACTCTTGGACAGATATGGGCCTTAGCTAATCGAACCACACCCGGCAAACTTACTAAAGAAGAACTTTATACTGTTCTTGCCATGATAGCAGTAACACAGGTAGACATAATTTCTTAAGTTACATCAAATAACTTTTCAGTATAAGTTGGAAGAATATTAATCCTTTGTGATTATAACCTCATAGAAGTCCTTGTTCATTGAAATGTAGGATATTTTCAAGGTATAGTACTTCAAAAATGTATAGTTTATATGAAGCACTAGCAAAATATTTTTTTAAAGATTGTTTAATACATTAAAATCCTCTGGCCTGATTATATATCCCTTCTGAACTTGAAAGTTAGTTAGTAATAGATGAAGTTACTCTCCGTCCTTTTAAGTCCTTATTTAAAACTCCTTAGAGCCCTGGCTGGGTGGCTTAGTTGATTGGAATGTCATCCCACACACCAAAAGGTCGCCGGTTCAATTCTCAGTCAGGGCCCACACCTAGGTTGTGGGATTGATCCCCGGTTGGGATGTGTACGGGAGGCAACTAATTGAAGTTTCTCTCCCTCTCTCTTTCCCTCTCTACTCCCTCCCTCTGTAAAGTCAATAAGCATAGAGTGTACTTAAGTGAGGCTAAAAACTAATAATAAAATTCCTTAGATATAAAGTATTCTCCATCTGATACTAATTTCTCATATATTATAAAACAATTTATAATATATGTAATCATGGTTTGGTTATAATAAATTATCCAAACTTGTCAGAGTATAAAAATGTCAGAATTGATGTGTATTGGCCATTTCTTTGCTAAATATTAGGTTTGCATTAACCTTGTAACTTATTTTCTTGTATCAAATTAATGAGTTGGGAGAGTTAACAGTGGAATTATACCAAGGCTACAGATTTTACATTTTGGTCTGTCTTTGCCAGATTTAGGTTGTATGTGGTTTGCAATCCTCTAAAATGTTTTCATTTTCCTTCTGTATAGAGGGGTGTTCCTGCCATAAGTCCTGATGCTTTAAACCAGTTCCCAGCAGCTCCCGTTCCAACTTTAAGTGGCTTTCCTATGACTTTACCTACTGCAGTGAGTCAGCCAACTGGGATGCCTTCAGGCCCTGCAGGCTCCATGCCCCTCAACCTTGGACAGCCAGTCATGGGCATTAACCTTGTTGGACCAGTGGGGGGAGCTGCAGCCCAGGCTTCCGGTGGCTTCATGCCAACTTACCCTGCAAATCAGGTAAATGGAGAAGCTGCATATTCCAAATAATCCCTAAAAGTGAAGCTGGGCAACTTTTTCCCCAGAGATATACTGAGAAGCCCTGGCTGGTGTGGCTTAGTGGATTGAGCACTGGCCTGCAAACCAAAGGTTCACTGGTTCAATTCCCAGTCAGGGCACATGCCTGGGTTGCGGTCCCAGTCCCCAGTGGGGGGGGTACGAGAGGGGCATCCTACACACTGATGTTTCTCCCTTTCCTTTTCTCCCTCCGTTCCCCTCTGTCTAAAATAAATAAATACAATCTTTTAAAAGAAAGAGATACAGAGAGGACTGCGGGATTATGATGGACTCTGGAGGTAAAAATTAAACAGTATTAAAACAATACAAAATTTAATTTTTCATTATTTAAAAATCATGAAACAATTTGTTAAGCCCTAAGATACTTGAATTTTGGCTAAAAGTCCAAAAATTTACTATAGTTCTTTATAGTAAATACATTTTAAACATCCAGCATAATAAGGTTAAATAAATTCTTAGGCCGTATCTCTTGAGGAAGCTGTTAAACCTGAAATTAAGGTACTTCAGTTTATTTTTCATTTCTCAGATTAGCAAACATTTTTAAAAACATAATATTTAGTGTTAGTGATGATGTAGGGAAAAGAGTTTATTGGTACAGCCTTTTTGAAGGCAGGAATAGCTATCAAAATTCTGTATCTTTTGACCTAGCAGTCATGCTGTTAAGAATCTGTCGCACAGAAATTAGCAAAGATACAAAAGGATATTTGCTATAGCATTGTTTGTTAACATAAAAATGTTAGCTATATAGCTATATGGCATTTAGCTATATAGGAATAGCTAAATGTCCATCAGGAAAAGAAAGGTTGTATAAATTTTTACTCATCCATACAGTGGTAAATGAATCATGAAAAGGAATGAGATAGATCTATATATACTGCATTGAAAAGATGTCTATGTCATTTAATTACATTTTAAAGTGGATAATGATATAAGTTCATTTTTCTATAAAGCAAATGAACTGTTAGCAGTACTCACTCCCAGAGCATGGGATTGGGACTCAGTTTTCACTGTATGGTGATGGGTTATAACAAGCTTGTATCACTTTTTAAATTTATAGACATGTGTAAAATGTTTTTTAAAGATGAGAAGTTCTCAGTAATCTATTAAATGACTTAGCTACTTAAAAAATGTAGCAGTTAGCTTTTCAAATCAGTCTTTTACCATGTGTACATCAGAGTATCTAAAAATGTAAGATAGGATTCCTGCCTTAATTAAGTCTTTGAGTTGATTTTATCTAAAGGGTGTTCTTCTAAAATTAAGTAGTCGTACCTAAATGTAGGATTTAAAAAAGTCTTTGAGATGGACAATGGGAGATTTGTTATTTACTATTTTATCAATTTCATGCTTTCTATTTAAACGGCCTCTTAAACCTAGGTGGTAAAACCAGAAGAAGATGACTTCCAAGATTTTCAAGATGCTTCTAAGCCAGGATCCCTTGATGACTCATTCAGTGATTTCCAGGAGTTGTCTGCTTCTTCGAAAACAAGTAATTCCCAGCATGGAAACAGGTACAAAAGAGTTGAATATAGTTAACACTGTATGTAGTAATTGAGGAAGAGACATCCCCAATGAGAAGCCTAAATGTAAGAGAATTAAGACTCTTTACTCTCATGGTTTTCCTGATTAATCCCTCTTTATTCATAGTTTTACTCTTCAGACTTTTGTCTGCATTGTCCTTGTTAAATGTCAACTCCTACCAGTTCCTGCCAGTGCACACCTGCTTGCCAGTATTTTCTTTGCCTGTGCTAAACCTGATGTATTAGAGCAGAGTGTGCCTGTGCAGTGATGACTTCAAGTTCTTGTGTTAGATCCAGGTCTTCAACTGTTAAAAGGTTTTTAGACTAGAGCACATAATTTGATATTTTTGCAATAAGTGTACTATTGATTTTCCATAGAAATCATAATTCAGAAGACCAAATATGATTATTCACATTTCTCCTATATTTGAGATCAGTGACTTTTAGGCCTTCATATTTCTGTTTGCTTGCGCAGACAGTGGCACAAGTGTTTCTCTGATGTTTTATGTACCAGCTTAACTTTTAGGTACAGTAACTAATTCGGTGCGTTCTCCGTACCATTTCAACATAAAAAAAAAAAAAAGATACTTCTTTTGCAGAGTGGAACATACCAGAATTTAATTAAGCAATATGAATTACTTCAGGTTTTTTGGAACTTGTTTTTGTCAGGATACATGTTCCATTTCTCTTATGTTCCTATTTGTGCAAATCCATTCATCTTTTCTGTTTTAACGAACTGATTACCTCTTAGTCAATACTTCTTGTGTATACACTGTACCAAGAACAGAGGGCTAGGCATTATAGAGAATTACAAATTAGGGAAAAAATTATTCTGATTTTAAAATATATCAAATAGGAGGGGTAGGAAAAAAAGAATATGTCAAACAAATGTAAATGACACAGAAAAAAACATATGAGGGGGGTGTGACTTTAAACTACTGGGATTTCCAAGCCCTCTATACCAGCATACATAATATTAACCTGATAGACACAGAAAAATACTTCGTTCTCATATCTCTTCCTTGGAACAGAATGTTCTACTATCTAGAACATATCTGAATGGCCCAAGGCATCTCAAATCATGTGCAAAAAATTAAATTCATTAATTTTCTGCTTAAATAAAAATTTATTAATTCATCATTTCCTTTCTTAGTGAATCATGTCACCGTGTCCAGTCACCAAGTCAGACACATGTTATTTGACTTCTTTCTCTCTTCTTTACCACCATCAACTCTGCCACCTCTGCCTGGCATGGAAGAGGCCATGTGTGGCTTTGCTCCCGCCCCTCTCTCAACCGCTGCCATTCGCCCGCAGCTTGTCCTCCAGTCATGCCAAAATGACTTCAAACTCACCGTGCTCTTTCAAGCTTATAGCCTTTTACATTATGTTTTCTTCAGTCTGAAATTCTTTCTATAGTTAATTCCAGTTCAATTTCAAAAATAGGTTTAATACAGGAAGTTTTTACTAGCCCCTCTGAATCAGTCCCCACCTCCAAGATGAGTTAAGGGCCTCTCCCTCTCTCCTGTTAAGATACCTTATGAGTACTGTGCCCTAATTACTGGGTTACCTGACTGTTTTCCTCACTAGGCTGTAAGTACCCAAACACAATCTTTTGTGCCTACATATGTAGTACTTAGCCCATTATATGTACTTAATAAAGGTTTGTTGGATGATTATATTGTAGTATGAAAATTATAAGCTGAAGTAATCAAATGGGTGGTTCATTCCTCTGGGGGAAAAACTCTCAGCACATGAAATTAAAATTGGGGTATAAAAAGTCTTAAGATGCTGGCCAGACCTGAGCCATATGGGATGTCAGCAGATTTGTGTGGCACTGTCTCCCCATCATAGTTTACTTTCATACACAGCCAGCCTTTGCAGACTTTTCTCACTCAGTTCTGACTTGACTACTTCCATGCTTTCGTTGCATGAAAACATTTTGCTCCTGTCTTAAGAATCCATGATCATTGTTTACTTACCCATTCAGCAGCATTTACTTAGTATCTGCTATTTGCCAGATATTGAAGTGGGCACTAGAAATACAGAAGCAAAAAACACAATTCCTGCTCTCAAAAAGCTCAGTATTGTTTTTTTCAATTCTCACCCAAGGACATGTTTATTTGGTTTTTGGTTGGTTTTTTAGAGAGAGGAAGAAGGTGGGGAGGGTGCCTTCCATGCACACCCCCAAACATGGATTGAGTCTATAACCTAGGAATGTGCCCTGATCAGGAATTGAACCTACAACCATTTGATTTATGAGATGATGCTCCTACCAGCTGAGCCAACCAGCCAGGGTGAAACTTAGTTCTATCTGGGTATTTATATTATGTGGTAAAACTCTCTTAGAATTGGTCTTTAACTGTGTGTGCATATATAATGAATTCCCTAGTTTTATGATAGTGTGTATTCCATATTGTGAGTTTATTTTAAAAGGATATTTGTTACATCACAATATGAATAGCTAAGCCTAGGTGAGACCACTTTGGGTGGTATTTTTAAGCAAAAAATGGACGTTATTTGTCGGAGAACATGAAAAGTAAAGCAAATTGTTGGAAGTAGGCTGGATTGGAGAGTATTTTTAGTCTGGGAAAAAATGACATTATTAAGGGTGGCACCAACTGTGGGAAGTCTTATGATTTGTGATGTAATCTCTAAAGCATTTTAGAACATACACATGGCATGGTGAAAGTGATTCTTGCTACTGTGTGTGGGATAAATTCAGCTGCCATCATGATAATCCTGTTGTGAGACGGTGAGGTGCTCTGGGCTTAGAGTTGTAGGTACTGAAAAGGGTGTATCCGAGGAATCCGTTGGAGCCAGTGTTGAACTGGATGTCAAAGTCAAAGGAGAAATAGTACTTACACCAGCATGAAAAGGGATCTAGAAGACAGCAACATCATTCACTTATCCATTCAGAAAATGCTTGAGTGTGTCAGGCATTGGGGAAGAAGCCTTGGAAAATAAATGAGGCCCACATGGGGCACTGAAGACAGGATAGGATTAAGGTGTAGGAGTTTTGAGTTGCTTAGGGTTTTTTTTTTTTTTTCTTTTTAAATGGGTGTATTTAGCAGGAATAATTATAAAGCACAAATGGATTCACTAGAGAAAAAGGAAAATCCTTTTTTCATAGCCAAATTCTATATAGTCTTATCTTTCAGTATAAGGAAGGTTTTTAAATTTTTTAAAACAATATGCCTCTCACTGAGTACCCAAGTATTACAGAATAGAAATAACTATTCTTATGTTTAGAACAAATAACTACTTTTTATAACTAGCATAAACATTTCCATGGTGATACAGTTTGTTTTGTTAAATAAAACATTCAGAAAACAAACCAGAATGAGTTATTTGTAATGTGTGTAAAATCCCAGTCTGAGTCATAGGTTTTTTTTAATGGAACTGTTTTATTGCATTCAGTCAACAAAATCTTCTTTTTTTCCTCCAATTCTGAAAATAATTTTGAAATTCGTAATATTCAATTGAATGTCACTTTGAGTAGAAGATTTGACCAAAGGACTCTAAAAGATCATAGCTAAAGTTGGCAGGTCATGTAAAACAAATAGATTATTCACCTTTGTGTTTTTTTCCCTAAAACATTGATTACTGTTATTCCTATGTAACATTCTGTTCAATGAATTGTAGTTTAATTACTTAAGGAACTTTTTAAAATTCACCTACAACATGTAGGTAAGGACCCGTTCATCAAGACCAAATATGTAGCAGCTGTTTGGTAGTGATGTGAAATTATAGTGTTTGATAACATAAGTCCTAAAGCACTCTGGGCCCCTATTAACATGTTTGGGTAAGAGCTGGGTTTCTTACCTTGCTTGGAAGCCACTGATAAGAAGATTTAAATGACTGGAAAGATTTTTGCTCCAGGGCAAAGAACTCAATAGAAAGCCATTTATATAACTTGCAGTGCCTGATATATTGAGTGACACAAACTAGTGGTGAAATATAATCATTCACATGCAAAGGTTGTTCTTCCTGGAAGCTGCCTGTGTCTGATAAGAGGGGAGGAAAAAAGTAGTGCTTTTATAGTATGTGGTAAGCCATCCAAGAATTACCCACAAAGATACTACTCATTACACTGTTTTCCCATCCTGGGAGAAATATGTCCACAGGCAAAAGTATCTTCCTCTAATTTTGAAGTGATTGTTGTTTTGCTGAAAAGATAGCTTCTGGGCACTGCTGTGCAATCCTTGCAAAAATGCAGATTGCATTAACTGTACTGCTGCTATCAGATGTGTGAACTTTTGTCATTAAGCAATGCAATATGATCAAAAGAGGAGCAGTTTATATCTTAGCTTGAACAACATTTCATAAATAGATTTTTATCTCAGCTATTCCACATCTTCATTGTGACCCCATTTTAGAGAATAATTTCATTAAGGGTCGATCACATAATTTACTTTAAAATATTGGGGATACCTATTTGGAGCAGTTCACTTTTATGGACCTAAAGTTAAAATTGCAGTAGATCATCATTCTATGATCATCTATTTCCAATGACATTTCAATTGTTTTTATGGCGTAAAGAGATTAGATGGTCAGTGTGGATCTGACCCCTATTCAAACAATCAAGAGAATTATTGGTTGGGTGTTGTTTTAATATATTTTTTCAAGAAAAAAGGATGTTGGTTTTTATCATTTATGGTATATATATTCAAACTTTTAAAGCAGAGTCATGAGTTTTAACTAGGTACCTGTTTGCCACTTTAATTCTAAGCTCCTACTTGATAAGGAACGGATTCAGTGTTTTAGTCATTAAGAAATATTTTTTTCCCCTTTCAGTGCCCCTTCTTTGTTGATGCCACTTTCTGGAACTAAAGCATCAGCTTCAATGGATAAATATGCTGTGTTTAAAGGAATTGCAACTGACAAGCCCTCTGAAAATACTGTTCCATTTGGAGGTAAAAGCAGTTTGTGAATTCATAAGAAACTGTGAATGTAAATCTTTGTTGTTAGTGGGGGCCTTTTATGGTAAATGTATAATGCTTATATCACATGTTAAGTACATTTGGCTAACCCTGTCTGCCTTGCTTTCTTGAGTTGTAATCTCAAGGTTCCCACCCTTACTTGAGCTTCTGTGTTTTCATCATAGAGCCTGGTGATAAATATAGTGCTTTCAGGGAACTTGAACAGACAGCAGAGAGTAAATCTTCAGGTAAGTTTTCAGTTCGTTAAATGAATGAATTATTTAATTTCTGATAAAAGAGATCTTTGAAGATTCTTTCAGTAATTTTAAAGGTGCCTTTATTTTACTATGTGTGGGTGGGTTTTTGTTTGTTTTTTTTCTGTGTCTCTGGAAATAAGGAGGTAACATGTGGTTTAGTTATTGCAAATGATTTTCTAAAATTTAGGTCAAACCCCAGAGCCATTTGATTTCCTCTAAAGATAGTGTTCCATCTCACCAGGAGCCCTCAGCCACATTAGACTCCTGCGTGAGATGGAGGGCTGGGACTACTCCTGGTTATTCTGATGTCCCCCGAGACTTCAGCTGCTGGAAGTGCAGTGATCTGTGGACTGTACAGAAGGCAGCAACCAGTCTTTTACTTTTCAAGATTTTCAAAATTGGTTATAATTTAATGAGGTGAAGAGAAAGGGTTTTCTGTGCATATGTGGTTCACACCTCTGATAGAAGGGCTCAAATAAAGTGGAAAGGTATGTAGAATGATAATGTGAGAGCCGTAGCTATAAAGCCTAGAAGTTAAGCTTGTGGTTAAATACTACTGTGAACCTGATGTGTAGGGTTTAGATAATCCATACGCCACATTATGTCCTTCAAAGCTTAATGCAAATGCTATGAAATTTGTATACTCTAATGAGGATTTTTTCCTGGGAACAGTACCATGTTCTACTTTTGTGTACTCTTCTCAAATTTGGAATATCCTTCAACAATCATTTGTTCCCACCTTTCTGCCTAGGGGATTAGGGTGAGAGTGGGAGGGCTAGGGGGAGCATATAGGAAAGTATATGTGAAAGTAAAAGTAGAAAGTGCACTGCTTAAATATCTCTAAAAAGGGAAACTTACCTGTTCTAGATACTCAGTCCCTTACCATTCTTATATTCTAAGAAATGTTTCCTTGTGTTTCTTTCAAGCCTTTAGGATATAATAACTATTTCTTCCTCCACGCCTATATTAGGTACTAGGAGTACATAGATAAACCCGTGGAACTTTTGGCTTGTTAATTTGTCATTTAGCAATGCTTTCATCAACTCTCGGGCCAAGGCAAGTTTGAAGGGAAGAGCATGGTTTAATATCAGGGTCCTTTGTGTAGTATGTTGTTAATGCTCATGTGATGTGTATGTTATTCCTGGGAAAGACAGTGGTGCCACCCAAATGTAAGCAGCACCTTATTCCTGCTTTATGGTACTTTATTAACAGAATCCCAGATCGGTGTTGCCATTTTTGTGTGCTTGCACTCATTCCTGTCTTAACATCAACTCTATGGCCTTCCCAGCAGAAATGCCAAATTTGTTCATTTTAGGAGGACATACTTTGTGCTACTTGCATTAAAAATATACTGGCCCTGGCTGGTAGCTCAGTTGGTTGGAGCATCATCCTGATATGCCAAGGTTGTAGGTTCGATCCTAGGTCAGGGCACATACAACAATCAACCAATGAATGCATAAATAAGTAGAACAACAAGTAAGTGTTTCTTTGTCTCTCTAAAATCAATAAATACGAAATTTAAAAAATAAATACATTGGCCTGACAAAATATCTCAGTGTCTTAGATTTTATGAAGAATCTTATGGTATTATATTTAGAGCTGAGAGTTTATTAGGTTACAAAATGACAGTTTAATAATATTTCCTTTTTTCTACCCTCCAGTTTAAACCATAAATTAGGTGGATGAGGAAAAATGTTTTATATAGATAAGTGAGAGTTACTGAAGTTTTAGCAAAAAGTGATCTTTTGAAATGTTTTTAGGGCCTAAAATGTATCAATTAGTGAGGCAAACTTACGAGGATTCAGAAGTTAACTGAAAAGCTACCCATGAAGTAATATGCTTAGTGAACCTGCTGATTTGCAAGCTTCAAATAACTAAATTGTTTGCCCCCAAATCCCCTTTATTTGAACTTGTAAACCCACCCATTTTCATTTGTTTTTAACCCTTTCACCCAGCTTACATTTCCAATGGAAAACATTACAATTCATCAGTAAGTTTAGTTTGCTGTGGTGATTTCTTTTTAAAAATAATAAGGCAAAACTTGTCAATTTCACAGATATTTCAAAGCAGCACATTGAAAATCTTGGCTATAACAAAAATTGGCTGCTTGTTACCTTTTCATTTACAGAAATAATATAAATATTAGTGATATATTTGCCTAAAATACTAGGGTAATTTTTTTAAAGTTTTACATCTGCTTCTCCTGTCAGTTTGTGAAATTGACTAGTTTTATTGGTGGTACATCTTACAAACATAAAATAAAGGAATTCTGAAAGCTTTTCCTTTCTTTCTAAAGTTTTCCTCATGATATTAAATGGATTTCTCTGTGTTGATGAGTTATGCTGGTGAGTTGGTTAAATTTCTCAGATTAGGAAGAGAAACCAGCTTCTATTATTTTCAGTGCTTTTTCACTTGATATATCCACGTATATCACTTTACATGCACGATACATTAAAGCCTGTAATGTTTCAATGATAATTTAAAAAATTGGATTTGGGTTTTAAATATATTTTTATAATTCATATACTTCTATATCTCATTTTTAGGGATAAATAGAATTTTAAAAATGGATGAGGACATTAAAGCTTTTATTTTACTCTTTAGAAATACACTCATATTTTTGAATGAGTGATATTAGTATAGCTATATTTATATTTGGTTTATCTCTGGTTTTCATTACCTGGTATTACCTAGTAGATTTTATGGAAGACCTTCAGATAGCATTGGAAAACTAAGATCATTTGCATCCCAGCCTCATACCTGTGAGTGATATCATTACTATGATAATAAAGAATAGAAAACCTAATAAGAATTGTGGCTCCAGATTTTTATCAGTATCTTAACTGAGTCTATTTAAATATTTATGAGAAACACTTTAATACCTGTTTTCTCTAAAAAAATTAATAAAAAAAATCTGTCAGAATCCCATCCTCAGAGTAGCACAGTATAATAAGCTCAAGTTTAAGTCATATCCTTTGGAAATTTTAATAAATAATAGAGTTGGTGTGTATTGAGATCCCTTTGAATTTTAATAAATAAGTACTTGGTAAGGTGACTGATTTCAAGAAAAACCCAAGTTCTCACAGATTTTTATGTGAACTTAACCTTCTGTGTTGGAGAGTATGGGCAGAAGCTGCTTCACAGTGTGGCCTTGGCCAGAATGCTTTACAAATAAGTAGATACTTTTTCAAACATTTTCATCAAAGTTGCCTTTAAATGAATTCCTCCATATACTTGAACAAGATGACCAGTATCTAACCATATATATGCTTGCTCACATGCCAAGTTAAAGTGTTGTACATCCTCAATATTAGATGCATGGTTTTTCATGATATTTCATTGGTACCTGTGATGTGTTTTTCCTGACTGATCACCACGTAACACATTTTATCTTTAAAGGGCCACTCTTTTAATATGACTCTTCAACACCGACTTTTTATTCTGTTTTGCACCTTTGGTGGGCGGCCACAGTGCGAACAGTCCTGCGAGCAGTGCTTTTGGCCAACTGAGGCATCCAGCACCCGGAGACTCACCACCACACCAAAGGGAGCAAACGAAAATGACACTGTTAGGTGCTCTCAGTTTGATTTTTATTTCCGTATCGCTAGCCTTCAGTGTGGAGACAAATACGTAGCTTGTAAAGGGATATTTGGTAGGGTTTGAACTGGAGTTAAATGATGTCAAGGCAGTAAGGGAAACGTCTATAAAAGTATGTTTGTCATTTACTGTGCTGTGCATCACATTTTCAGCTCAGCATTCTGACTTTCTTGACTCTGTTTTTTTCTTTCAGGAGAAAACTTTGCAGAATTCAGAGCAGCAGGGACTGATGATGGTTTCACCGATTTTAAAACTGCCGACAGTATATCACCACTAGAGCCACCAACAAAAGACAAAACTTTCCCAGCCACCTTCCCCTCAGGAGCTAACCAGCAGAAACCACAAACCCAAGTGAAAACTCCTCTAAACTTAGCAGATTTAGATATGTTTTCATCAGTTAATTGCAGCAGTGAGAAACTCTTGTCTTTTTCACCTGCATTTAGTGCATCAAAATCTGTTTCTACACAAGCACAGTCAGTAGGATCTGCCGCAGCCACGCCAGCGTTGGCAGCAACTAAATCTTCTAGTTTGGCTGATGATTTTGGAGAATTCAACCTTTTTGGGGAATATTCTAGTCCAGCATCTGTTGGGGAGCAGGATGACTTTGCAGATTTTATTGCTTTCAGTAATAGCTCTGTTTCATCGGAGCAAAAGGCAGAAGACAAATATGATGCCCTTAAAGAGGAAGCTAGTCCTGCTGCTGTAACCAGCAGCTCAAGCAACGTAGTGAAGAGTGGACAAAACTCAGCTGCTGCATCTACCAAATACGATGTCTTCAAACAGCTTTCTCTGGAAGGATCTGGGCTAGGCACTGAAGAACTGAAAGATAACACTCCTTCAGGAAAAAGTGATGATGATTTTGCCGACTTCCACTCCAGTAAATTTGCTTCCATGAACTCGGACAAATCCCTGGGAGAGAAAGCAGTTGCTTTCAGGCACACCAAAGAAGACTCTGCTTCGGTGAAGTCCTTGGATCTCCCTTCCATTGGCGGCAGTAGTGTTGGCAAGGAGGACTCTGAAGATGCACTCTCTGTTCAGTTTGACATGAAACTGGCTGATGTGGGAGGAGATCTTAAACATGTCATGTCTGATAGCTCTTTGGATTTACCAACAGTTAGTGGCCAGCATCCTCCTGCTGCAGGTGAGGAATTGGTGAGATTGCTCTGGTGATGGTGACGTAGATTTCAAAGATGGTTCTGTGGGTGTTAATTCACAGATGAGTAAGGCTCTGGCTCTTAACCTTCATGACTTTCTAATAATTAACATCTTTGTTACCAGACCCCTTAACGCAGTGTTAAATTTCAGTCTGTGGATACTTGGATATATGGATACCACGGATACTATGGAACTTAGATTTGAATAGCTAAGATACTCTGATTTTTTAAATCTAACACCAACTTGGTGTCAGAGGCACATAAAAATCCACTGCTAGATGAACTGCACATTGCCAGAAATTTTGATAAAGATTTTTGCAATGTCAGTTATGTTCCTCCATTTCTGTGAATGAGGTCAGTGTTTCCCTCCTTTTTATTTCCCTTGGGTATACTTGACAGCTGCCAATATAGTTATTCTGTTTGGTTTACAGAAAGTAACTCTTGTTAGGTCAATAAAGTAAGAATGTCTAGCCAGTTGTACTGCAGTTTGCCACGTCCCCGTGAGTGGAGGAGAGGGGAAGCACTTATGTGTGGATGTGCTGTGTTCCCTGGTCTGGCAGAGAGGAGGACATGAGTTGTTAGTGGAATTCAGGTACAGTTGTCAGTGTTAACTCTACTGTTGGAAGTATTAAACCATAACAAGTCTGTAGATGGTAGAATAGAGTAACTACTCACTTTCTCATAAAATGTTGGAGACTGCAAGGGAGCCCTCTTAAAATTCTGTATGGATTTTCCTGTATTGTAGCAGTTTATTCTCCAGTTTAACTTCTTGTCATAAAAACTAGAAGCCCAAGTGTCCTGGTTTTTATTTTGTTTTGTTATTTGATATATACATATATATATATATAAAATGATAAACCTATTTTGTGGCCTTTAATAATGAGAAATATCTCAGTATTACTGTATTAGTCTAGAAAATTTATTATGCATATGAAGGGTTTGTTGTTGCTGTTTTTTTAACTAGAGAGCGCAATTCCAAGTTTACAGATTCAGGCAGAAATTGTAAAGTGTTACGGCTTTTGCAGGCAGAAAACAAAATTGCATCTATCCTTTGGCTATTGCAGTGTTAGATGTATCCTTAAACAGGGTGCTGAGTCAGGAGCAAGTTACCATAGACATTGTGGTTTGAGTTGCTACCTGCTGAGGTATTTCCAAGTGCAGCAGCTGTCTGCAGAGCTTCTTGTGCCCCTGACTGGCTACTTCCTGTTTTTTTGTACTTTTCTGCAAGTGGTTTCCTATATATTTTATTTTGCTGCTGTTTATTTCTCTTTTTTTTGTATGAGCTTCTTGAGCCACTACAGTTGGTTACAAAGTGCTCCATTTTCTGAACAATATTTGATTTTTATTTAAAAATCTCATAACAAGTAAACTAGCCTTCTGGACTCTAAAATTATTAATTAGAAGCTATTTTTCTGAAAATGAATCTATATTCTTTCACAGTGCCAAGCTAGATGTCTTTATGGATGAGTCTAATCTGGGTTTGGATGTCTTTTCCTTTTTTTTTTTTTTTTTTTTCTATTTTATTTGGGGAGGGGACATTGGTTTTTGGATTGAGTCTGTTGTGATTGACCTGTTAAAAAATTTTCTGTGCTCATGTTCTTTTGTGTATGTTTGGGACATTCCCAGCTTGGAATCTGTAATGTTCAAGCCAAGTATCTTCAGTTTGAGGATATTCTTAAAAGCAGATTGTTTCCTCCCTTTGATCTGTAAACCTGTGGAAAGGAGCAGTATCCCTTTAGAGCGGTTGTTAAAGGGGTTGATGCCTGAGCAGTGCGCTGCACTGCTGTTGAGCAAAACTGCTGCATCAATATACTGTAGAGCGAAAATGGCAGGGACTTCTATGGGAATTTGGTTTCTCTTTATCCTCATGTTGACCACAGTGTCTCTTGCTCTCTTAGTTTGAGGGTTAGAGTTACTTCTCGGAGAAAATAGAAGTGGGCTCATGAAGAGAGAATAAAATGTAGTAGACTACTGTTTCTGGACCTAATCCTATCTGGAAACCCTAACTTAACTCTGAAGGGGATACTGTCTCTTTTAACTCTTGCTATAATTCTTTGTATGGAAGGTAGATATTGCTAATAACATTGCCTGATTTCTCTGCATATTATTACATTTAACCCTTTGAGCCCTTGCTGCATATAATTTCAAGTAGACTGCTTTTGTCCCCCCACTAAATTTAATCTCTCTGGCACGGAAGCATCTTCATGTGCCATCATTAAGGTCATTTGGTTTCATAGGCAGCAAGAGCTTGCCTTCATCTGTAACACTCAAAGGGTGAGCAAGACTTCTATAGCCACCTACCTACCTACCTACCTACTACCTGTAAAGTAGCTCTTCTTTGACATTGAAAATCTTTGTATTTTAATCAGCACCCTTTTTTTTTTTGCCTGCTTTTCTGATGTCTTTTTTTCAAGTTAGACATATTCTGTGTGAATGTGCCTTTTCGAACTTGCTTTGGTATATTCCACTGCAAATACTGATCTGCATGCTTATTCTGATGACTTCTTTTCCAGCTTTTCTGTATAACTCTTTTGTGATCTGTAAGTCCTATGTTAATAAATAATTCTTTGGCATATTTTGAAAGTGTGGGGATGTGTGTAATTCTTACTTTTTCAGGGTTAGATCAAAGAAATCCCTGGTCCATATCAAGTGTAAAGCAATAGCCTGTCCTGTGGTTAGAGGCTTTTCCTCTTCGTTTTGTCTCTGCAAACGCCTGTCTCCTGAGAGGAGTACTAGTGCATTTTAGCTTTTCCCCTTATAATTCCACTGATGAAAGTTTCTAACATGGCACGGGATTAAAATATAACTTCAAATATTTTCAAAGTGTAAACTGTACACTATTTTACCTAGTATAAATTTTACTCCTTTCTGCTAGTGAAGAACCTGAGATTTTATTGGTTACTAAAGATCACAGAACCTGTCTCTAGTAGGAGTTCCGTTACGAGGAGAGGGGGAAGGTGAGGGGGCAGACCTGAGAGCTGAGTGTTGGGGAAAGATGGACACATCTGTTAATAATTAGATGTCTGTAAATTTAATTTAAATGACAAGTGGCATTAAGGTGGACTTCTGAGTGCAGTAAATGTAAGCTGAATTTAAATTGCTGTCTCTGTGATGGGAAGTGTTCAGCGCTAGCACCAGGAAGTCTTCAGGGCTGAATTCGATCTGAGTGGAAATGGGGTGCGGTATCCCCATGGCAGGGCACGCGCACTTTCCAACTCCAAAATGTGCGTGCGGCCGCCCTCGGTGGTGCTTCTCTTAGTCCGCAAAGCAAGTTCTCAGAAGAAGTAGACTGGAAACATTTCCATTTTTAAGAAAAGAATTCTAGGAAGACCCCTAAAAATTAACAAGAACAGGCCAAATTTATGGGGGGGGGGATTTTCCATATTAGAGTATAATAATAGCAAAAAATCTTGGGCATGTTATTGTATTCAGACCAGAAACCCAAGACCAATAAAGACCTTGGCAAAAGGGGGTTGTTTCTATAGTTTAAATTTTTTTCTTACAGTATGTGGCTTTAGGTCTTCGTTCTTTTTTAAAATTTGAGCCAGAAAAGAAATTAAACCATTGAAGATGAGGATTTTTAGTAGCATTCCTGAGATCACTTGTACTATCTGAAATATGCCATTTGAGAAAGAAAAATGTTGCATATTTGGGTTTAGATTAAGAAAAGCTGGTTCTGCCATTTCAAATGTGTATTCCAGAGCACAGTGCTTTAGAAAGTTGAATAATACTTGGTTTCAAAAACCCTGTGTACTGCTTACTGATGTGGCCCCCAGAGATTTTGGCATAGGCTCCATCTGGAGTGATAATACTAGGTGCCTTTATCTAGGACTTTCTGGCACCGAATATAAGACCAGTCTTGTGGAAGCTTTGACTAAGCCAGTCCCTTGTCGGTGGAACGGTCTAACGCCAGATTGGTCTGTCTGGGACTGTTTTGTTTTACCTACTTTCTGCAGTCACCTGAGCAGGCTGCAGAAAATGACTAAATGTAACTGCATGTAAATCAGTCACATCCACAAATCCAACAATTAATATTTCCAGAGTAACATTTACTTTTAGGGAGGAAGTTTTAATAATATAATAATATAAACTTGCAATGAAGACTTTAAGAACTGTATGCTATAGGTTTAAACAAATAAGAAAATACTGTTTTGTTTACCCCAGTACCAAGTTAAGGAAGATGTCATTAGTGCTTGACTTCATACATCAGCGCCTGAGAAATTATATATATTCTGTAATCACTCTAGTGTTCACGTTAAAATCCCTGCTGATTTTTAAAAGTAGCAAATGAACATGTAGAAGATACTGGTAATATCAAAGAACCTGGGCTAAATCCTACAATAACTGAAAGAATCATTTTAAAAAATTTTTTTAATACTCAACTGAGGACATTTTTTCATTGCCTTTTGGAGAAGGAGGAAGGGAAATATCAATGGGAGAGAAAAAAACATCAATGCAAGAGAGAAACATTGATTGGCTGCCTCCCCTGGGCGTTGGGACCAGGGATTGTCCAAGCCCTGACTGGGAATCGAACCCACAACGTTCCATTTATGGGATGATGCCCCAACCAGCTGAGCCACACCGGCCAAGGCAAATTATTTTATTTTTAAAGAGCTGCTTCTAGCTTTGTTTTTCCACCAGCTGAATACTTTTGATAAGTCGTTTTGGAAAATGCTGGCCTAATAGCTTCGAGGGCACAATAGGGCCAAGTGCATGGAGGGTCTCCTGTGTGCTGCCCTCGCCAGGGCAGAAGCAAAGGGCTCCAACTGTAATTGCCATTTTCTGTGTTCATTTTGTGTGTTTTTGATGAGTTTAAAAAATTTTTAAATCTTTATGGCATTTTTTTCACTGCTTTTAGACAGAGAGGAAGGGTGAGAGGGAAACATTGATGTGAGAGAAACATCAATTGGTTGCCTCCTGTATGCGCCCAAATTGGGAATCGAACCCGCAGCCCAGGTTTGTGCCCTGACCAGGAATCAAACCTGCAACCTTTCAGTTATGGGCCAATGCTCCAACCAACTGAGCCACACCAGCCAGGACTTTTTGATGAGATTTTTAATGATGACCATGAGCAGTCTCCCTGTATGTCCTGACACCATTTCTCGGCCTTCTGGCCTCCTCTGACTTAAAATATCCACAGGATTACCGCTTTTCTTTATTGAATTTGTAGCACTGACGTGGAAAACCGAAGGCGCTTACAGATAGCAGGGAGAGCATGGCAGAGACATGTGTGAGTCAGAGCAAAAGAAGCATGGGGGTTGCTGTGCTGCCTGGAAGACACTGGAAAGCAATAACACAACAGCACTTTCCTGCTTTCCTCAACATCACCTATGAGGGTGTTGGAGACTTACAGGACCCAGTCAGACAAGGTTCTATAATTAATAGAGAATGTGAATATGAATGGGGCCAGGGTGGAAAGAAGCTGAAATGTGTAAATAGTTCATGGTTTGCTCTGGTAAATGAAATTCAGATTAAATTGGCATTGGAAATTAAAAGATACATAATCATTTTCAAAGACCCTTTCTAAGTCCATTGACCATTTTTATTGTTCTATAAAATACTAGGGAATAGTGGAATTGGCACATGTATCTCCTTCCTTTTTTTCCAAACCCCTTTCTCAAAAGCCTGTGTAACTCTTAGTCACCTGGGCATATGCTTCCCAGCTTTAGAAAATGTCCGGGGGAATTGGTATGGCCTTTTGTGTCCTGTAGTGGCAGCTCACATTCTTTGTTCCAAGAAATGCATATTTTCATGTACAACATCAGTTCAGAGGGGATTTTAATGGAGGTTATGGAACAGACTGATAGGGTTACTTACTAGCAAGAAATCCATGTTGTGATTTGAGATACAGAATGAAAAGCAGGTTGTAGAGTTTATTCCTTTGGCCTTTGTGATAGGACATTCCTGGTTGGAAGCAAATACATGTATTAAAGCACACACTTTGGCCTATTATGTGTGCAATTGCAGTTCAACCTAGCACAGCCGCCAAGTTTCCCAGTAGAATTGGAAATACGGCAGTGATTCTCTCTTCGCTTTATTGTATCCATTCTCTGTTCTCTTTTTCCTTTTTCTCTTGCAATTTTCAGAATTCAGCTATCAAGCTGAAAACTCATCTGTAGCAACTTCAGTGATTACAAAATAAACTGTGGGTTATTTCATATTATTTTTCCAGATAGAGCTTTCCATCACTTATGTTGTAGGTCTTACAGAATCTTTAATATTTTTAAGCCCATCATACATACAAATAGATATAATTTGACTACCTAGAAAATGTATAACAGTTAACATGGGAAATGAGGAATTTTCTTGGTTTAACCTACCGTCAGTCAACTGATTTACCTCATTTTCTTAGAACATGGCTTACTAATACTCACCATGCTGGGGAATACTGCTTTGTTTTTATATTGTTTATAAATGCTCAGGTGTAGGAGGGATACATACAATGCTTTCACATTCCTCTGCATTAGGTTGGACACAAAGTCTGTGTGGTTTTTTCCATAAAACCAAAGACACATTTTTCATTCTCACCAATAACTTTATTGATTTGGATGTTCTGAGTATGTTGGCTATATCCTGCTATTGGCTTCTAGTGGGTAGAGGCCAGGGTTCTGCTAAACATCTTCCAGTGTGTCAGACAGCCCCACAGCAAAGAATTGTTTGGCCAAAATATCAGTAGTACAAGAAACTCCGCAAACCACTTTTGACAATGTTACATCAGTCACAGCACCTCCTCCATACACTGCACAAATCTTTTTTGTGTTTCAGCTGCATTTTTACCTTTTTCAAAATAATAAAGCATAATATGCCGAAAATGTTGCATATCTTCTTCCAGCTTCAATATTAAAATGACTACACAAAAATTCACCAATTTTGATAAGTTTTTTAAATGCACACTACTGTGACAGCTGTCACAATACAATCTAACAAAATTGTTTTGAATGAAGCTAAAGACATCTAAGCACTACTAGAGCCATCGTACAGAAAAAGCTAAATGAACTTTTTTTTAAGTGAAGTCTTTTTTTAAAAGATTTTATTTATTTATTTTAAGAGAGAGGAGAAGGGAGGGAGAAAGAAGGAGAGAAACACCAGTATGTGGTTGTCTCTCATGTGCCCCCAAGTGGGGACCTGGCCTGTAACCCAGGCAGGTGCCCTGACTGGGAATCAAACCAGTGACCCTTTTTTTGCAGTCTGGCACTCAATCCACTGAGCCACACCAGCCAGGGTAAACAAAGATTTTGGCCAACCCAATAATACCAGTTTTAGTACTTCCTTGTGTGTTCAAATGAATCATACTTCAGTAAATTTTTTTACACTATAGTAACCAATAAATAAGCAAAGTAAAATTTAAAAATCAACCTTGAGGCTTGATTTTAGTATATTCTGTATATTTACTTTTTATTATTTTTTTAAGTATAAAATATAAGATTTGTTAAAGACCAGTAGTTTTAAAAAATACTTTTCAGCTGAGGTAATTCCTTATTTCTTTTAATACCTATTACATGATTACACTACAGTCATTTCTGCGGGTTTTTCCCTTGTTGCATAATGGAGCAAGAGGGTCTTTTTATTGCCATCACAACCTGGTCGTGATGTTTAAACTAGAGCTTAACCGTTCATTACATTTACCTTGGTATCTAGAAAAATAGGTACTTTTTAGTAGATGAGATCCTGAGACCAGTTCATAATATAACTTCCCCAAAGAGCTTTCTGGCAGGGTCTAAGAATAAAAATATCTGTTTTGTGAAACATTCTTCTGAATATACCCCCAGAAGACTGGTCTTGTGTTTAACTGCAACTGCCTGTTGATTGAATTTCACCTCATCTGAGTCCGGGTGCTTTCTGATCCCTTTAAAATAGTGGGGAAAACAAAACACTACCGCCAGAGACTGTTTTGCTTGACGTTTTTTCCATTCATTCGAAATTATACATTTCTCACCTGAATCTTTTGTCCTCCTGTTTAATAAACCAGATGTGAAGGGTGCTATCATACCACAGAATTCTAAAATATACTCTTGTTTTGTGAAAGTTATTAGCTTTTCACTGGTTGGCCTTTTTGTATATCTGGGGCTTTCCATTTTTATGATTAATGTGATCCATTTTTATGATCTCTTTTTAAACCCTTTTCCTAACAGGGTTCAAAAAGAGAGACAGAGATCTGTGGCAGGCTGTTAGAAGAGCCGTGGAAGTGTCAGGAGGCACTGCACCCTTACAGGGTGCAGAGAAAGACAGAATGAGCCACCCTGGGTGGGCTCGCCAGTGGACTTAGTTTCGGAAACCCGGATCACAAAACTTTTGAGCATTTGCTTTGTAAACCATGCTTGTGGTTGTCAGAGAGGGAGCCTTGCATGTAGCCTCCTTTCCTCATATACCGCAGTGACTGAAGTGAAACAAACGTGTGCTAGCCGGACCGAATGGACGGTGCTGCTGGAAAGGCGCTGCTCCACCTGCTGCCTGTCATGTACCCGGTTAGCCTCAGCTGGTTTTGACTTTTCTAACATGGACAAGAAAGTTTCCCTAGTAAGCCCACTAAAATGATGCGTCGACATCATTTTTACCTTGAAATAATTTCATTTTAACCCCTAAAGTGGCAACTAAATGTCAAATTGAGGCTGATGGCCACTGTGCTCTACAAATACAGCTGTTGTGTATTGTTAGTTGACACAACACAGACCTTCCACGTGCGTGGTGTTTTCATCTTACAGATAACAAACCAGGGCTAAACAATGTCAAGTAGCTTGCCTAGTGCCACGCAAGTAGTAGGTGGCAGGGCTAGGAGTTGAACCCAGGTCTGTGTAGGTCAAAAACCTACATTCTTTCTGCTGCTGTATGCTACCTCTTAAATTATTTAAACGTGTATTAAGAATGTGACATGAGTCTTTTGCCCCAGCATTTCTTTTTCTTTTTCTTTTTTTTTTTTAAATGAGGGACTGATACATAGTTGAAGGAGAAACAAGAGCCCAGCAGGACCCAGACTTTTGATTCTGTCTTTTAGGGGGTAACATAGATTAGATTGATTTTCTTTCCTCACTTTCCATCACAGCAATATGGTGTCCATACTGACTAAAATAACAACTAGGTAAGTAACTGCTTAATTAAAACTTCCCATTTGGCCTGGTTTGAGACAGAAACTCCTAATAATTGATTAAAAGTTAGGTAACAATATTTTCATTTTAGTTTTAAGCAAGTGTCCATTTTTAATTAGCTTGTTATGTACATTTCATATGTCCATGTTTGAAAGGAACATTTTTCACCAAGGTCAAGGCAAAAGAGACATGTTTTAGCTGGGGAATACTGTAAATACATTTTAAAGTTTATAAGTGAATGATTTACTAAATGACCCTATTCTCATACCAAATAGTATATACATTAGCAGATGAACTTTCTTCCAGTAATTTTTATATCCAAAGAAAATGACTCTTTGTAACTAAATATAAACGACAAGTCAAGGCTAATGTGGGTTTTTAAAGATCAGATTTTACAGCTCAACTCCTTTAATTTTAGCACAAGCTCTAAATTTAGTTAACTCCAACATAGCATAAAACTAATCAAATATGCTAGACATTTTGCTTCTGCAGAGTTTAAGGCATTTTGCCTAAATCGTGAGCTTGCCTCTAATTGTGGGGTCTTATTTCCCTTTCAGATATAGAGGACTTAAAATATGCTGCTTTTGGAACCTACAGTAGCAATTTTGCAGTGAGCACACTTACGAGCTATGACTGGTCAGACAGGGATGATGCATCTCAGGGCAGAAAACTCTCTCCGTTTGTCCTCTCAGCAGGAAGCAGATGCTCCTCCGCTGCCTCAGTTCTTCAAAAGAAAGAGACTTCGTTTGGCAGCTCTGAAAACATCACCATGACGTCTTTGTCCAAAGGCGCAGCCTTCACAAGTGAAGATGCTCTTCCAGAGACCACTTTCCCAGCTTTTGCCAGTTTCAAAGATGTGATCCCTCAGACGGGTGAGGAAAAGGAATGTGAAAGCAGGGACTATAAGGACTTTACAAGACAGGACCTGCCTGCCGCTGAGTGGAGCCAAGAGGCCGCGTGTCCAAGCCCAGCTTCCAGCCGCACTTCTCACGACACCCCCAGAGAATGTTCAGATGACTTTGGAGAATTTCAAAGTGAAAAGCCCAAAATCAGCAAATTTGACTTCTTAGTAGCCAATTCACAAAGCAAAATGAAATCCAGTGAAGAAATGATCAAAAGTGAGCTGGCAACCTTTGACCTTTCTGTTCAAGGTGAGTAGCTTTCAGCATAGATTTTTACTGTTGTGGTTTTTTTTCCGCCGAGGTGTTAGATGTCCTTTCTTAGGATAAAAAGTTGGTTCCTGGTTTAGCAAGAAATAGATTTCCCAGTGTTTGAAATCAGTCTATTACAGATAGCTATTTCAAAAAAAAAAAAAAAGTTTCCCTGAGACTGAACTCAGGTCAAACCAGTATTCCTCAGGTAACTGCTTTTTGGACTAAGCACACAGTCTGTAGTTCAGTAGCTGGTTTGGTTAGAGGTGCGCTGTATTAAAAGTGCCAGAGAAATGGATGAGATCCACTTGTGCGCTAGCTCGCTCTGCTCTGGTTCCCTGGCTACAGACTGTATCTTCGAATCCAGAGGCCGCAGTGTGGTAGCCGCAGATCTGGGTCCAGCCTGCTGGCCTGTTTGACCCACAAAGAAGGTTTTTTAATGTGTGAAGCAATTACCATACATAAAAATCATGAGACTTCACAGTCTGGATTTCTAGCTTTCCTTAAAAAGTAATACCTGGCAGTATGAGGCCTGCATTCCCACCTCTTGACCGTCAGCTGGAGCTGAGTAGCAGTGCCCCCCTCTAATCACTGGGGTGCACTCTCCCCAGTGTCACAGTCCCCAGCACTTCTGACCTCTGACTGACTGACTTCGGTCACTCACTTCACTTGCCTGCTTTCCAAAGGCATTTGAGTTTGCCCCTTCTGCACTAAGCCCACCTGGACAGAAGGAAACATTGATTTCCATTAGAGGGAGAGAGTACGGAGATTAATGCAAATCCATAACTAAGACTGGAAAGATAACACACTTCTGATGCACCGATATTTACAAAGACACGCTAGTCCTCCAGACTGCAATGATTTGCTACTAGAATTATGCAAGAATGATGATAGGTCAGGGAAGAGGAGCGGAGAAAAGTAAAGGCAGGGAAACCAAGCAAGAGAGCTCAATGGAAAGCATTTGACATTCAGCTTCCCAGACATAAGGAATGAGGGTGGTGTTTCTGAATGCCTCGTGACATAAACATCTACAGAGGAGGCCCACGCTGGCAAGAGCCTCTACTTGAACTAAGCTGAGTAATCAAAACCTTTAACTGCGTCATCCCCTTGTCCCAGGATCACACAAGAGGAGTTTGAGCCTTGGCGATAAAGAAATAAGCCGTTCTTCTCCTTCTCCGGCTCTGGAGCAGCCTTTCAGGGACCGTTCCAACACCCTGAGCGAGAAGCCCGCTCTGCCTGTCATCCGTGACAAGTACAAAGATCTGACAGGAGAGGTGGAGGTGAGTGGGGTAGTTTTCCACAGGGCCAGGTCAGAGACCAGCTGAGCGCAGAGGCCCTAAGGAAGAACGCCTGCAGCCTTAACATGCGACACACAAGGAACCAGGCACAGAACATGTAATTAAAGCGAGAGAATGGTGACATTGGCCCTGGATGAAAATATTTCCCAGATTTGACGTCCACTGAAGGTAGTTGGTGACCTTAACACCAAAATTATTTGTGGGACTTCGCAAGGAGGGATGTGTTTAAGGGAATTCTTTTTGAGCACTTAGACTTCATCATTTCAGTGAATGTGAAAACACCAGAAATGGAGGAAAAGGGGGAAATGTTATGAATCTTCTGTTTATGGTTGCTATATTTCAGTCCCGTGCCGTCTTCCTTGCAGAGCCAACACTGAATCATTCTCCCCCACCCCTCTTGTGTGTGTGTGTCTCTCTCTCTCTCTCACACACACACACACACACACACACACAGAATTATAACTGTGGAAAGCTGGTGGTTTGATAGGGGACCTTATACTAGACACCTATGCGATGAGCACCTTTGCAGAAGTTTATGCTACCACTAGAACACATGAAGGGACACTTGCAGAGAGAAGCTGATATAAAACATTTACCTCAGAGCCACAAGTCATGTGCTTGGAAGTTACATTTACCAGTAATTTTAAATAGTCACTAGTGGGTTCATAAGATAAACTGTGCTTGATCCCTGGCTGGTGTGGCTCAGTGGATTGAGCACTGGCCTAGAAACCAAAGGGTCGCCAGTTCGACTCCCAGTCAGGGCACATGCCTGGGTTGTGGGCTAGGTCCCCAGTAGGGGGCGCACAAAAGGCAACCACACATTATGTTTCTCTCCTTCTCTTTCTCCCTTCTCTCTTTCCAAAAATAAATAAATAAACCTAAGGAAAAAAAACTGTACTTGAACTAGAGTGATTTTAATAAAAAGGAAAGTCTTCTAGTGCCCTCTGAATTGACATAAATAGAGGATTCCAAACTTGTTCTTTTAACCCAGTTCTTTTTATAAAATTTGCAGGAGAATGAGAGATATGCCTATGAATGGCAGAGATGCCTGGGGAGTGCCCTAGAAGTGAGTATGTCACTTTTGTGGTGTTCACCTCTGTGTAAGTGCTGTCTTGTGTCATGTTGCCTTCTCCTTAGAGCATGACAGAGTAGACAGAGGCAAAACGGAAAAGAGCCCTCCCTGAATGGCCCGGGCAAAGCAAAGCTCTGTGGAAGGTCGTGCATCTTAAGGGAGGCTTCTTTCACGCTTGTGATAGCAGACTCTGGCCCATTTGTCGCTTGTGCCCTCATCTGTCAGTCTGTTTAAGAAATAGCAAAATGGAATCATGTGTTCTGCCTAAATTAAAATATTATTTAAGCCAGAGAACCTCTGTCTTTTCTCTCCCAAAGAAATGGAGGGTTTTTTCTTCAAGGCTAAAAAATTAAATTTCTGGATTTGTTTCAGCATACATACTATACATACATCAGTTAGTTATACTTTTCCACACCTCCTGGCTTTTCCCTTGGGTTTACTGCTAAGGTAAGTTGATTTGCAATGACTTTTCTTAATTATGTCAGGTGATGTGATTTCATTTCTTGTAGGTCATTAAGAAAGCAAATGACACCTTAAATGGAATCAGTAGTAGTTCTGTGTGCACAGAAGTTATCCAGTCAGCTCAAGGCATGGAATATTTATTAGGTATGTTCTTTTATATTTTACTGATTCAAAATCACTATACTTTGAAACTTTTTTAGTTTCCCCTTATGCGAAGTAGCTTAATCTAGGTCTCCCAAGTTACATATGACTTTATTAAGTAGCACCTGTGTTTGTAAATAAGACACTTAAGTAATAGGCAGATACAGTTATTTGAGACTTAAGGTCTCTGGGCCAAGTTTCCCAGTCCTAGTTATGACATAATGGCAACAGTGTATAATTACATCTGTGTTACTGGTTTATCAGAGCCTGAACTAGGCGAGACATTAAAATGAAGTCATTGGCTCTCCAGTCAGCACCTTCCCTTACTGCGCTCTGTCAATTCGTCCTCTTTCCCCCATAATGACATCACAGGTTCCTTAACTTCCTGGCCACCTTCAGCTATTAAACATCCCGATCCAGCCGGGAACCCCAGTCTCTGTCCTCCTCACCTCAGGCTCGGGCCGGAGCCACAGGCACTGGACCCTGTTCTTTTTCAGATCTTTACTCAAATGTCACCTTCTAAGTGAGGTCTTCTTTGCCAACCCCCTTACCAACTGTATCCCCTCCCCCCACCCTGGCACTTCCTGTCCTTTTCTCCCTAGCCTGTCACCTTTAATATCTTATATACAGGGTCTGGCAGAAGTAACGCCTGCTTGAAGGTGGTTGGTAGTATAATAATATGGGCGTAATAATTTATAGCTTTAATTTGAACATTTCACCTACAATGTCATATGGTGTGCTTGAGTGTGATATTGTTATGCTACAGAATTGCATGCTTAGGATGTTGTAATAACAGATTTTGTAATTAAAAAGGAGCGTTATTTGTGCTGGACCCTGTATTTTACCTATTGTTCTTGATTATATTAGAATGAATCTCTAAGAGGGGAGGGATTTTGGCCTGTTTTGTTCCCGGCTGTGTCTCCAACAGCTGGATTAATGCCTGGCTCAAAGTGGTCACTGAAAAATATTTGCTGGGTGAGTGGATAACGAAGGGATATGGTCTCTCCTTTGCTCCTGCCACCTCACTGTGGTTCCTCTTTCCTACCCCAGCAGGCATGATTCTACTGCATAAACAGGTGTTTACCCGGCAGTGAGCTGCCTGTCTTTCATTCCAGGGGGTCTCCTTATATCCATGAGAGATTGTCTTAGAAGCCCCCTCGTTTGGTGTAGGTTGGGCAGCAATCCTTGCCCCCGAGAGAGGAAGAGGAACAGCCATAGTGCTGTACACAAGGCTGATGCTGCTCCCCTGTGCAGACCCCCTGGGGCCCTCCAGTCCTCTCTCATAGAGGCTGCAGAATGGGGCTTCCCCGTTCAAGCTGGGTCGGGGGTCGTTCATCAGGTGGCTGTCCTTTGAGTGTAGGGATACTTGCCACCTGTCGTCCTTGCTTGAAGAGTTCAGCTACCATCAGAAACCACAGGAAAAGAACTGTTCCAAGTCCTGTCAGGTGTATAAAAGAGATACATGAAGCCACAGAGTGTAAATTACTGGGCATTCATAAGAATGAGATATTTCTTTGTGATGATATTGATATTCAGATTCTTTTAAACTTTTAATGTTCCCATTTTAATCAAGTTTAATGGTATTTCCCAAATTTAAACAGATGGACTCATTAAACAGGGAGAAAAAAAATAGCTAATACTTGCATAATGCCTGCTGTTCGACCAACACTGTTCTAAGCCTTTTATAATATTAACCCATTTAATCCCCTCAACCATCCATTGTGTATGTGGGGGCACTGTTATTGACCAGTATTACAGATGAGGAAATTGAGGCACAAAGAGGTTATGTGATTAACCAGCTGGTATATGACAGGGCAGTGTAGCTCCAGAGTTGACGCTCCTACCATTGAGTTATACTGAAGTATTGAGAGGTGGTTGGTCCCAAGGAAGAGCACATCCACCTCTGTCCAGATACAGTCCTTTCCAACTAAGGTATCAACAAGCAGCAGTGCGGCCCTGTCTGTCGTCTCTTTCTCTACACTTCCACCAGCTAACTCTCTACTCTGTCCCCCTATCAGGAGTTGTGGAGGTGTACAGGGTGACCAAACGTGTGGAGCTGGGCATCAAAGCCACTGCGGTGTGCAGTGAGAAGCTGCAGCAGTTGCTTAAGGACATCGATAAAGTGTGGAATAACCTGATCGGCTTCATGTCGCTTGCCACACTCACGGTAAGGCTTTCAGACAGTCCAGCGGTTGCTTTTCAGAAACCTGAGCTCTAAAGCAGAGTGTGTGTTCCTGTTTCGGCAGTCACGGGAGGGTGAGGTGCCTGCCGCATCGTGTTGCGTTAAAGGAAGGATCGGACCGTTGTGCGCTTCGTTGAATAGTGTCCGGTTAACTTCTGGATAGCTCCCCCGAAAACATTCACTCCTGACCACCTCCTCCTTAACCTACGTACATATATGCGTGTTTTGCAGAGCATTGGTTGGAGTTCCTTTCTTTGTACTTTTAGTTACTCATGTGCCCGTGTATGGCGTCCTTATTTAAAAACTGTATGACATACCTCTTGCCATCCTATGGTTCCTTTGGGCTTTTTACTTTTTTAGGTTCTTGGACTATTTTCGTTTTTCCTGCTATGAATGGTTCTCTGAATACCTTCAAACAAATGACGGTATTTCCCTTTTGGGGATATAGCTGTTCCCAGAGGACGTAGCAGTCAGAATGGGCGACTGCACACGAGCACGCGTGCACCTCCAGAGCTGCGGCCGCATTCACGACGTGGCTTTCCAGCGCGCGTGGGCGAGCCGCCCATGCACCGGCAGCGCACAGCTACTCCTTTCTTCACACTGTGTGCTGCTGCTTTGTCAGGTTCTTCCTTAACAAGGGTGTGATTCCCTCAAGGTGTTTTTGACATTTCTCACATTTCCCAAGAGGCTATCCAACATTCCAAGTGATGATTTACTATTTTTATTTCCTTTATGTGTGAACTGATCATCTGTTTCTTTTGACCACTTGACCATATTTATTCAGTGAGATATGGCTGACCAGACATGCTTCATATTTGTAACAGATTTGTATGCACACATGTGCACACACGTTAGTGAGCTGATATCAGTGTGTTTTTCTCTTCTGCTCCGCTCTTTTACATCTGATTGGACAGAACCATATTATTTTTATATACTCACACCTATTCTGTTTTTCTCTGGTAATATCCTTTATTTCACAATAGTCCGAACTGTATCTTTTTCCCACAGCTGGAATAAATATGCCGTTCCATCTTCTTTCTTTTCTTCTTACATTTAACTCTGTGCGCATCCGAATGCAGTGCCGTGGGAAGCAGTTCTTACTGCTCTGCCTGCTCGGTGGGTTCCCAGCCATCTCAGGGACGCGTCTTAAACGGCGGGTCCTCTCCACGTTGTTACCCTCACCACGGTTGCTTCCGGTTTGTAATCTTGAGTTCCTACAGAGTGTAAAGCGTTTCCAAAATCTCTGTTTTGTTCCCTGGGACCATTTCTCAATTTCTAATCTAAAATCATACAGTTTGGGTAATTATTTTTTAAAATTACTGTTCTGACCAATAAAATAAGAAATTAAGTATAAATATTTGAAGAGACAAGTTATATTTTTGGTGATATAAAATACTTCAAGAAATCTGAATTCAGGAGGTTTAATTTAATGAGTTTGGCAAAAATTCATAGCATTCTTACATGTTAGCAATAGTTAGAAAATATAGAAATGGAAGCTCAGTTTTTAATGTGTTAAATCATTCAGGCCTTCATCACTTCTGACCACATAGCTAGAGTTACTGGTTAACATTTTTTATCTCTTATCAATTTCTTTTATACACCACTATTAGGCATTTCTTTCTAAAATGCAAATCTAATTGTGTCATTTAAGTCCCATTTAAAATCCCGCAGTGGGTTCTCTGGGATCTTCAGGATCAAGTTTAAACCTTCTTGGCTCAGTAGTATGTAAGGTCTTTTTCATTTCTTGGACTGCCCAGGCCTCTTTCTCTGTGAGACTGCTTTTCCCTCTGGCCTCTGCATCCGTTCCCCCAGAAGTCATTCCAGAGACCCCTTCAGTCTGAGTTAGATGCCCTTTCTGTGTGTCCACAGCACTTCCTCCCTGCCATACAGCACTCACCACACTTGGCGAGGCTGTGTGTTTACCTGCTTCTTGCCCACTAGCTTGTCAGCTGTGTCCCTTACTTCCTGGTGCTGACACAGTGTTTGCTGGGACTTTTTACTTTCCTCTATCCTTTTTGAACCTTCCCATTTTTTCAAACTAGGTATGCATTTTTGTAACTGGATTAAAAATTTTAAATAAATGGATAGGGAAAATAAAAGTAGGGGAGTAAGATAAAGCCAGGAATGGAGCTAAGTGTACATAAATGTGTGCTTTTAAAGTGCTTACATTTGCTAGTAGTGAGCTGTACAGTTGCCCTGAATTGATACAAAGAAGACATGATGATTTCCATGATTGACTGTGTTCATAACATAAAAACAAACCCACTGCTCACAAGAAGCATAATTATTCCTGGCAGTAATATCAGGAATTTCTGTTGTGGGCTCTTGTAAAGAAGAAACTAATGTAACCTATGTTATCTTTAAATATCTTTTCAATAAATAAAGCAACAAGTTTCAGTAAGTAGTTTCTTACGAAATCTCTGAATATAGGCCAAAGGGCATAGGTCCAAGTACAAATTAGTGAAAGTCATTCTGAGTGTGGACAAAATGGTAATCTAGGTAAAAGTGTGGCAGTGCATACAGATGGTGGACTCGTGTCTTTGCTTTGTAAAGAAAGCATGCAAATCAGTGAGAAATGCACCAACATCCTGGTAAAACAGCAAAAACATGAAGTGATTCATGAAAAGGGAGGCACATCTAATAGTAAGTGTTAACTCAAATTAAAACAAGATTTTATTTTTACCTGCAAATAATCAGTTTTTTGTTTGGTTTATTCAAATCCTAACAGTGTTGAAGTGGTAAAATGTGGGCCATTTCTTAGGGACTTTATTTAATATTAATTGGTACCACCATGTGGAAAATGTGTTTGGCAGTATGCTTTCCCCCTGCCTGTGAACTTGAGGACAGGGGCCAAGACCACATTTTATTTGTGTTTTGTTCTCGATCTGAGCACAGTGCCAGGTGCTCCACAGGTACCCAGTGAAGGTGGAGTGAATAGGGCCTACCACCCTTCAGAGTGGCTGACTCGGTAATTCCACTCGAAAACTTCATAAGGCAACATTTCTAAATACAAACTCTCAAGAAGAAGCAAGTTAAATGCACAAATTGTTCTCTGTAAAAGCAAAAAATTGGAAATAACCAAAACGTCCAAATCTAGAGGATTAGTCAGGTAAATTGTGTGGCTCTTCATACTTGGATGTTATGCAACCGTTCTTTAAAGGAGACAGACTCTGAAATAACACAGAATTGTTACCGCAGGGCAGGAAGGAAGTTTGCCAAAATGATAATAGGATTATGTTTGGGTGATGAATGTCTGGGTTTTTTAAAATATCTCTAAGCTCCAGCTGTGAGGGAAGATGGCTGGCTAGTGAGGTATGCGAGGGTGCCTGTGCGGTTGTGGGATAAAGAAGGTTTTACCAGTTGTTTGCCGTGGAGTTCCTTGTGCTCCCTTTGCATCAGTGACACCGTAGTTCATCAGAGCCTTTCTGCTCAGTCTTACCAAGGCCTCACCTCAAAACCCATCCGTTCCACATTTTTATAGCAAAAAGGTATGTAAGACCAAGTATTAGGAAGCTTGAGCTCAGTGTGTATGTGTCTGGGTCTCTCCTAATTCATCCACCTTCTCCTTCCCAACCTGGGGCTAATATGAACAGGGTTAAGCCTGAATATCATAATCACTAGCCACCTTTTACTGAGTGCTTGCCATGTGCTAGACCCTATTTTTCACTCTTTATGTAGATGTTATTTAGTTAATACTCACAAAGATCTTGAGGGTAGGTACTTCTATTCTACCCCTTTTACAGATGGAGGAACTGAGGCACAGACAGAGCTACTGCTGAGACCTGGGTTCAGTGTGAAAGTCAGAACTCTGCCTTTTCAACCATTACACTCTGTTGCCTCCTTGAAGTGCACAAGCTGGGTGGGTAAAACCAGACATGGGCACAAGCCTTTTGGGGAAGAGTGAGCTATTACTTAGCATCAAGGTCATTAAAGCACCAGGAATCTCTCTGGCAGCAACTTGATGTAAACAGTTAAGTTCTTTACCCCTATTTATATCTCAGAACTACAAAGTAATTTCAAAGTCTTTTATTTTCCATTTAGATTTCAAGGTTCTTTGTTTTGGTGGCAATCTATTTCTCATTGTAATTAATACTTTGAAAACTAGATTTTGGTACACACCCTCAAATCGGCTGCCCAGCTCTTTGGTACCATTAGAAAAAGATGGCTGTGATTGCAAAGCATCCCTGTTTGCCATGAGCTCTTTGAAGAAACGGGGTCACAGAAGACCAAGTGCATTACCCAAGCTTAGTGTGGATTAGCCCTTCTCAGTCTGGGGACAAAGGCTCACTGGGAGAATCCCGGCCTGGGTTGCTGTCATTCGTTTATTTCTCAAGGCAGCTGCTCTCCCGAGGAGGTGGCAGCCAGTTTTGTCCGTGAACATCCTCCCAAACGTCTGAGCTCCCACGATGCACAGCTGCTCATGAGAAAGGTCTGCCTTCTCGACTCTGACGGCCCCTTCAGGCCCGCCTTTCCTCCCCGCCTTTCTTCATTTTTCTTCCTTCTTCTTTCCTTCTTTTTTGTTAAAATATATATAGTAAAGTGCAGAAATCTTAGTTACACCATTCAATAACTCTTGACAGACTGATCCCATATAACCCAGGCGCCTGTGAAGATAGAGAATATTCCACCATCCCCGAAAGTCTCCTCCTGCTCCTGCTTGTCATCACTCCACTCAGAGTAATCCTTGTTCCAGTTTTTTACACCAATGATTAACTTGGTTCAGACCTTTTTAAAGAAGCCATAAAATTTGATTTGTGATTTTGAAGAAAGCCTTAGTGACGTGTGCACCGGCTGAGGTGCCCGAGACGTCGTGGATGAGATATGAGACAGATTCGCACTGACTGCTGAGCCCTGTGGAGGAAAAGGGGTGGCACAGCTACTCCCTCAAGGGGAGAGCCCCTGACCCCTGCCTAGACAGGCTTTTATTGGGTTTAATTTGTGCAGGAATGCAGGTACAGCTCATTAATCATTGTCAGGCAGTAAGG